GGAGAGTTCTGACAAAGTGTGGTCCACTGGAGAAGGGAATGGCAAATCAGTTCAGTATTCTTGCCTTGAGAACCCCATGAACAGAATGAAAAGGCAAAAAGATAGGATACTGAAAGATGAACTCCCCAGGATAGGTGCCCAATATGCTACTGGAGATCAGTGGAGAAATAACTCCGGAAAGAATGAAGAGACGAAGCCAAAGCAAAAACAACACCCAGTTGTGGATGTGACTGGTGATGGAAGTAAAGTCCGATGCTATAAAGAGCAATATTGCATAGGAACCTGGAATGTTGGGTCCATGAATCAAGGCAAATTGGAAGTGGTCAAACAGGAGATGGCAAGAGTGAACATCAATGTTTTAGGAATCAGCAAACTAAAATGGACTGGAATGGATGAATTTAACTCAGATGACCATTATATCTATTACTCTGGGCAAGAATCCCTTAGAAGAAATGGAGTATCCATCACAGTCAACAAGAGAGTCCAAAGTGTAGTACTTGGATGCACTCTCAAAAACGACAGAATGATCTCTGTTCGTTTCCAAGGCAAACCATTCAAAACCACAATGAGACCACAACTTCATACCCACTAGGCCAATTATGCATGCGTGCTCAGCGGTGTCCAACTCCTTGCAACTGCATGGACTACGGCCGGCCAGGCTCTTCTGTCCATGGGAATTTCCAGGCAATACTGGAGTTGGTTGCCATTTCCTCCTCCAGGGACCTTCCTGACCCAGGGATCCAACAACCCGAGTCTCCTGCATCTCCTGCATTGGCAGCCAGTCTTTACCACTGAGCCACCTGGGAAGACCCAAGGATGGCTATCAAAAACAAAATAAGACAAAACTGTTGGTGAGGATGTGGAGAAATTGAAACTGTCATACATTGTTATTAGTATGTAAAACATCTCCGCCACTGTGGAAAACAATTTATCGACTCTGCAAATATTTAAGCATGGAATTACCACATGAACCAGCAGTTTCATTCCTGGTTATTCACAAGGAGTGTTTCCTTGACTTTAGTCAGGCTCCTCTAAGCCCTCTCAGCCTCTACTTGAGTACTGGCCTTGTGGGACCTGCATTAACTACTTGTCATAAGATTCCAGTTAGGTCAGTTAAAGAGCCCCTACCGGGATAGCTTATCATCCTCAACATCTCATCAAATTCTTCATCCCCTATCTTCAATATTACATCAACCTGGTCTGCCTTCAGTTAAGAAACCTGTTAAAATGGTTGGGCCAGAATTTAGCCCTTATCAATGGCATTTCATTTTAGGAAATACCCACCCACTGGCTATAGGTTCTCATTTGTTTATGATGTTTTTGTTTAACTGACCCCAGTTCTATACCAAGGTCTCTTTTCTCTATTGCAATAATTCCTAAATAAATTCTTTTGTTTTGATTCACTGATTGAATTACTGTCAGATTCTGATTTTCTTCAACAGTATATACCCCAAAGAGTTGAAAACAGGGTTTAAACAAATACTTCCACACACATATTCATAACAGCACTATTCACAATAGCTCAAAGGTGTGAACAACCCAAATGTCCACCGCTGGATGGATGGGTAAATTATGGTATATACATACAAATAAGATGGAGTATTAGCCATAAAAAATAATCAGATACTGATATTTGCCATACAATGGACGAACCTGGAAAACACCTTTATGTGAAAGCAGACAGCACAAAATGATCATACAATCCATTTACGTGAAATACTCGGATTAGGTAAACCCAGACTGAGTCTGGGCTTCAGTCCATGGGGTCGCAAAGAGTCGGACACGACTGAAAAGTGACCTCACTTTCTTTCTTTCTTTCGAGTCTGAAAGCAGTTGTTCCTGCTAGGTTCCAGGAGCGAGAAGAAAATAATATAATTCTTAATAGGAATGAAAAAAATGGCTTGCAACTAGACATTGTTAGTGGTCTTACAACATTGCGATTATACTACATAGACAGAATTGTGTATTTAAAGATGTTTCATTTTAGGTTTTTTGAGTTTCACTTCAATAATAATTTTTTTTTTAAGTTTATAACCCAACAGCCGAAGTTGTTCAAAAGTGGAGAATTACAATCAGACACTGCAATGTGCCCTGATTATTCCGCTTCTGAATTTTTAGAACTCTTCAGTGAGGTGTTTTGTTTTTTAACATTAAATTCATTGGCATTTGACTGGTACACCGTCACAGACTGCAAGGCCGGCACCAGTATAGGCAAGAATGGTGTGGTTCCTGAGCATGAGGATGGACTGAGCAACAAGGCTAGTTCGTTCCAAGCTTCTTTAACTGTAGTATTTCAACCGGGCTCCCTACCTCACAAATAGTCACAAGCTACCTCGCCTTTTACGGACCTGGACGCCGGGTCTGCGAAGGCGCTCGTGGACCTCGCCCCGTCACCGGGCTCGAGTCACTAAAGGGCACGCGGGGGCGGACCCAGGCGGGAGTATCCCGGCGTCGAGCGCAACGGCCGCGGCCCAGCCTGCCCACCTCCACCACTTCCGCCCGCGGCCTTCCGCCCGCGGCCGGCCGCCCGCACCGCCCAGCGCGCCAGTCGGAAGTGTGGGCGCCGGAACAGGCGGTCGGCGGGCCTGTGGCGCCGCGCGGGCCGAGCGGGGGCGGGGCGTGCGGGGACAACGCGCAGCAGCCAGCGCGGGGCCGAGATCGGTGCTCCGCGTTTTGGCCGAGCAGAGGGCGCGGTCAAGAGTCGGCAGCCTGCACAGGTGGGCCGCGGCGGGAGGGCAGGGGCGCGCCCGCGGCGGGCGGGGTAGGCGCGCGAGACTCGGGGCGGGGTCAGAGGGGAACGAACGGCTTCCCGAGTGGCTTTTCGCCGCTTCCGGGGCCCGGCGCCCGCGGGAGGAAGACGGTGTTCTGGGAGACGCGGCCGGCCGGGCCGAGCCAGCAGCCCCCCGGCGGTCGCCTTCGTCGCCTCTCGGGTGTTTTATTTTAGTGCTGACGTTTGGTTTGCAGTTACAGGTATTTCCGGAAATTCGCTAGAATTTCGCACAGCGCTTTTTGTGGGGAGGGTGGCGGGGGCGGGGCTTTTGGTGTCCATATTGAATAAGATTGTCAGTTGGGCTGTGGAATTGGGACGTTTTTCAGGTAAAGTCTAAGTTGTTAACAAAGCTCGAGCAGTTGCCAGATACTCACGTCCGTCAGGGAAGTCAGTGGGATTGATGGCGGTATTTAGAATTGGATTGCTGACGATCCTCGCCGTGGTTCTTGGGAGTTCAGAAATAAACTTGGCGAATAGCCGCCCCTGGAAGCCATCTCCGTTAACCGTCACCGGGGAGGGGCCGCGCCTAATAGTCTCTGTTAGGACTCGGGATAGAAAGTGATTAGCTCGGTTTTCGGAGTTACATTGAGTACAGTGAAAAATGTTTGATAACCATGATGTAAAAATAGATCAAAATTAAGACAAAGTATTAGTCTGAGCAGAATCAAGTCCTTATTTTAAAATGCTTTTAAAAATTCAAAAACGGGTGCTGGGTTGAATGGTCTGAAGGTTGTAAGATTTAATAGTAAAAATCTCAAGATTAAAAAGAGGAGTCTGAATTCCGGTCTAGCTGTGTGATCCTGACAAAATCACTAGTTCTGAGAGCCTTATTCTGTAAAATGGCTACGATGATAATTACAGTGGTTTTCTCACAGTTCTAGTAAATTCTGTATTACGGTCAGAATGTTTGGATTTGTAAGTGGTTATGGGGTTTTGTAGTACTTAAATACTTAAAGTCACTAAGCCCTCCTCTTCTCCATCCCCCACAGTTTAGTGACAAGAGGTCTGATTTTAAAGTCATCACATTTTGCCTATACCTAGTGTATCTTCATCATTAGATTCAGGGGTCAGAAAAATTTCACCTTAAGTTCATCTTAAATCTCCCATGAACTTTTGTAGAATAGGATTAACGTCATATTCATTTGTGAAATGCGTATTCCTGGAACCTGGACGGTGCTTGTCAATTTTGGTGGGTTTGTGAATTTTTTCCTGTCTTCTACCTTCTTTTTAAAGACCGAACTGGCAAAACTTAAGCTTTGGGTTCACCGAAAACAAACCAAAATAATTTTACATGGAAAATACTGTTTTCTGTTGCTTAAAGGTGTGCTCAGTTGTGTATAGACACACGGGGTGATTACAAGGAGTTAGGTAAAGAATTAGATTACAAATAAGCTTTATTTAGCATCACTTTCAGAGCGAACATAGCATCTCTGTGAGAGGCAGAGAAGATCTAGCAGTAGACTTCAACATTGGCAGCACTTTTGAATTGCTTAGGGAGAGTTAAAAATGCTGACCTCTGGGCCCTAATCCAGACCAATTAATGAGCATTTCTGGAGGAGCATGGGTATCCCACCTGTTAACAGTCCCCAGGGTTACTCTGTTGTGCAGCCAGGATGAGAGCTTGTGTATTAGAGGAATGAGGTTCTTCTAGAGTGTATCTTGTTTGCTCGAGGAAGGGAAAAGCTGGAAGGACTGGAGCTACATTGGACAGTGTAGCCTGGGGCATTTGAGAGAATGTTAAAGAGGACTTTTATCTGCGGGTGTGATGAAATGTTTTGATTTGTAAAATGAACTGTGCAGTGACCCAGGCCAGAGGGCAGGCTGTTAAAATCCTGAGTCACAGAGCAGTAACTGTGAAGATAGAAGAAATTAAAGAAACATTCTTTCCTGGATGTTAAATATTTGTAAGAAATTGAGTAATGATTTTAACTTGCAAACTTTTTTTTGCCCTACCTAGTTAAAACTGTGTTTTTCAGAATGGGTGAATAGACTGTCAATGTGTGAATTTGTGACTGGTTATTTTTAAAGTGTCATACAAATATATATACTTCAAACAACTTTCCTTGTTAATTACTAAGTAATCTGATATATGTTGACTTATGTTAATTTAGGGGTTTTGTCATTTTTGTTTTTCAGTACTCTTAAGATTGATTTCTAAAGATATGGTTTTCATCCAGCTTCATCAACGCACATAAATTTTCTCCTTTTTGGACTCTTGTTTTATATCACAATGGTGAGCTACAAATCAATATGTTAATATTCTTAGAATATTCTCTTCCCTCAAAAAATATCAATATGAAACAAATATTCTTGTTAACTGCTCTAGTTACCCTACCTGGGAAATTACTTAGCAATTGCATGCAAAATCTTAAAATATGAGGCTCATCTCTCAATTCAGTATTATATTCATAACCAGGGTACACAGATAATCTATCTGTCCTTATTTATGTGAAGTAGTAAAAAAAAAAAAAAAAAAATTACTTCCATAGAATTCTCCAGGCAAGAATAATGGAGTGGGTTGTCATTCCCTTCTCCAGGGGGTCTTCCCAAACCACAGATTGAATCCTGGTCTCCTGCGTTGCAGGCAGATTCTTTACCATCTGAGCCACCAGGGAAGTCCTCTATTTACTTTACCATAGTCCAAATCACTGGCAAGAACCTTGGGTATAAGTATAAATAGTTTTGGGGGCACAGGTTTCTCATATTTTGAAGTTCTTGTTAGTACAGATTTTTTAAAAAAATTAACAAATATAACCTGCTTACTGCAATTAACATTTAAGCAGCATTAGGGTTAGCCTTCTAATGGCACATTTCTGCTTACCACTTACGGTCACTAAACATACTTAAGGCTGGGCATTTAACTTTAGACATTAAAAAATTAAAAACAGAAGAAAAAGATCACTTTCTGATGTTACAAAGAAACAGCATTCGACAGAGATATAAAGAGCACTGACCACCATGTTGAATAAACTTCAGAAAACATGTGTCTTCTCTTGTTGGGATCTTGCCTGTGTACCCTTGCCTTTTTAGAGAAAAGTGGAGCTATTACAATGGGTTTCTTAGCTTATATTTTGCTTTCATATTATCTTAAGTATTTGAATGCAGTAGTGAATAAATGATACTAGCATTTACATATGCAGGTATATCTCACTAGACCCTTTACAGTTTTGATATCAGAAGATTAAATATTTGAGAAGAGTGGCTGTTTGAAATTGTCTTGGAGTATACATTTGATTGTGTTTTATAACTTTTTGATAAGTTATAAACTTACTCTATAAGGTTTTATGGCCAAAATAAAAGAACCTTGTGTTTTTGTCAAGAGTATATAATGGAAAATAGTTTATGCTCAAGAATCTAATTTTGAATCCCTGGGAAACAGTTTCACTGAATTCTGCCCGTGAGATTTTTTAATAAGTTGATATAAATTTAACAACCTTCTGAAGTAATGGCATATTTCAGACTTTCTTTTACCTACTCCATTTAGATGCTTGATAATGTACAGGTTCTATTGCTCTTCTAAAAGGCTGACTGTTTTTGTAATGTTAATTCTCCATCCTTATAACTGGGATGACAGGGTCACCTCAGCCTTTGTGATTTCTGAGACCTGGACATATATGTTCTTACTCCTGCACGGTTGGGGTTTTGATGGGTGCTAGGAGTTTTTACTCCATGGAATTTGGTAGATTGAATTGTTGGGGAGTCCAAAATGACACAGAAAAATATAGGTTCTTAAAAATAAAAAAAGAAAATTATTTGCCTCTCAGTGAAATTAAAAGTGCTTGTCATTGTGAATGAAAAATGGTATAATTCTTTGTGATACCCAAACCACAAAACTAGAAAGAAATTATTGGTGGTATATTGGCTTAAATTTTTTTAAATCTAGTACTTTTTATTGTTGGGTATCTTTGCAAAAGAATGCTATACAGGTAAAGAAGACAGAGTTTACCCTTCTTATTACTCTCTCTTGCCCTATAAGACAGGTCTCTAAGAAATCACACTTGATCTTAGCCAAAAGGCCAAGAGCGATTCTAAGAAATCAAAGAAGGATGGGGATCTACTAGTAGATCTCAAACTGCATGCAGTAATAACACTGTATTTTCATCAGTTCTAAGGTGCATCTGCTTTTGCTTTTACATTTTAATTACTGAGTTAATAATGTATCTGTGATACAGTCAGTGACATCTTAAATTTATTGGCAGCATACTCTTCTTCCCTAATGTTAAATAATAATTCAGGCATGTAACTGATGGTATCTTAAATTCATTAAAAATTAGTAAGGGTAGCCATCATTTATTGTGTTTCTACTAGGCACCAACATAATAGCCCCCTCAGTTTTTAGGATTCCTAGCAGCTTAAGGGATTTTAGTTTTTGCTTTTTTAATTGCATACCTGATAGCCAGTATATTTTCCTGAATGATGCTCTTAAAATGCTGAAGTTTATAAAATGGTAATAGTTACCATATCGAATCTTCAGCCCTATATCAGCTGTACAAGCGTGACCAGAGAAAATCATTATAGCATTTCTTAACTAATTTGTGGTCAGAATCAGATGTCTGAGATGACCGTATTTTTTCCTGTAATATGTCTTGAGCATGCAGTGAGGTGGGTGGAGGAGAGAAAGAAAGGAAAATGTTATACCTATTTTAAAAAGTAAAACACATTTAAACATTTAATTAGAAAATGTTATATGTGTATTAAGTTATTTTTGTGTGAAAATAACTAATGTGATAAAATACACCATTTACTTTTTACAGCAACAAGCTTTAGAACTAGCTTTGGACCGTGCAGAGGTGAGGCATGACTAAGTTACATATTGAAATAGTGTTGTCTTTAATTGACAAAACACGGTTTTAAGAGATTTTCGTATGTGACTGTCTAGGACGTACATTAATATTAGGATGAGTATACTTTCTGTAAATATATATATAAGAATACCAGATGATGTTTGAATCATCTGTTACTTGGAACGCTCAGATAGTAATGCTGTGGAATAAAAACTGAACAGTATTGTGAGTTAAATATTTGAACAAGGACATAGAGTTTCTGAAACTATGTTTTCTGTTTTAAGCAATTTTCTATTTGCTTAATTAAAGGGGAAGTAGCTCAAATATATAGAGTCTTTGTAATTGGGTATGCTGTATATATTCTGAGCAACTATAAAACATTGAAAATATTGACTGTGAAAGCACAGTGGTGAAATGGTATGATTTTGCTCATAACATGCAAGTAAATATTGAGCTAAATTTTACTACAGTTTAAATTTCACTTGTTTATTACATATATTTAGAAGTTTAGTAGGTTTCCCTAAAAGGTATGATTTAATATGCATGCGGGACTCGAATGACTGAATAGTCTTTAGCCTTACACATGATTTAAATATACTAAATGCAGTTGTTCATGCACTAAGCAAAAGGCCAGCTGTTTTCTTAAACTTTTCTTTTTTAGTATGTCATTGAAAGTGCCCGGCAGAGACCTCCTAAAAGGAAATACCTATCTAGTGGAAGGTATGAGTACTTAATTGTTGGTATCTTAGATATGCTGAAATGTGATGATAGCCACCATTTATTTCTTACTAGACACTGAGCTAGAAATGTTGTATCATGGGTACTTTGCATATATAGTTGACCCATGAACAGTGTGGGTTTGTACTGTGCAGGTCCATTTATTTGCAGATGTTTTACAGTAAACACTACTGTACTTCATGGTTGAATCTGGATGCAGAGGAACCACAGATACAGAAGGCCAGCTATAAGTTACATGAGGATTAACCTCCATGTTGTGCAAGGGTCAGCTGTATTAGTAATTTCTAAATTGATGTTAGCTGCCATGTCCAGCCCCTCTTCACCACCCAGTTTTTGGGAAATTGTGGGGGGAATGACAGAAAAATTCAAAATGTTTATTTTATGATTATTATATTCACAGTACTTTGTATGTTGTCTTTGTTTTATTTTAGAAAATCTATATTTCAAAAACTTTATGACTTATATATTGAAGAATGTGAAAAAGAGCCTGAGGTTAAGGTAAGTATAATTTTTTTATATCATTATGGCTTTTGAAATGTAGTGGAAGAAGCGAAGTTTGAAGGAATTAGATTTGAAGCACGTAACGGTTTGTATTTTTGTTAGTGAACAAATCTACTACTTTCTAACCAGACTACCTGGTTCTGTAGCTAAACTAGAGCTCTGGCTCATCTGGCACCAGGCAGATAGCCTACTTGGTAGGAGAGGTGAGCAAACTCAACATGTTTGCTGAGTAACAGGCTATCTCATTGGGAAGTTCGAAGAAGCGAAACCACCATGTATATTGTTTTTTGCTTCTTTTTCTGACTGAGAAGTTACTTGTAGACCAAAGATCAGGAGAAAAGTAACCTATCTCCTCATGGTAGTTTGCACTGGAAAGTTAGAACTATTGCAGGACATGTAGGAAATTTAGATACGATAATAAAAGGTGAATTTGGTCACAAAAATCAGTTCATGGCCAAGTTAAATTTATTTTTATTGAGCATGAACATATGGGCAGTAGAAATGTAATAGAAATTGATTTCTTGATATTTTTTGGACCCTTGGGTTGTAAGGGCCTTAAAGGCTCTAGTGAGCTTCTGTTGTGTGTCTTTAATTTAAAAATGAATACCTCAGTCAAAAAATCAGTGGAATTCTAATAGTATCTGTTTTTAAATATTTAGGAAAAACATGATTGTGAAACCACGAGTTTTATGGCATGTTTTCCATACATTTTATTAGGATATAGTTGACCTACAATAATTTGTGTATGTTTGAAGTATGTAACACATTTTGTAAGTTGTGACATGCATTGTTGTTTAAAAAATTGAATAAATTTGAAGATCTAATTGGCCTTATTAAACCACTCATTAATTGGACAGCATCTCATCAGACAGAGATATTCTGAGGAGTTACACAACATGGAAGAGGTATATTGTTAAGGAGGGCAGGACAAGGAAAGAAAGTCATCAGCAAGGAAAAACTGAGTTCACTGGAGGAAAGTAAAACTTCAAGAGATGCTGGCTTTTCGTAGGCTGAACTACAGGTGTTTTCCATTGGCTGAGCTGCAGTCCTTTCCCACTCACAGAGCTTGTTGTTGGGCAAGAAGAAAGTCTTCCCCCAGTTGGGGAAGGAAAATAGTTGCATTTCCTATTTAGGAGTGCTCGGTAATTCTCTTCCTGGTGGGATCAGTAATTGATGTCTTCCTGGTGGGGTAATGGATGATGAGTGGTGGAGCAGGAGAGTTCCCTCTGCAGGCCTTCCCCACTCCAATTTTAGTTGAGGTTTCCTTTTGATTTTCACATTATACACCCATAAGTTATCACCACAGTCTGTATGATGAGCGTACATAGAACTAAGGTAGGAGAGATAATAAAAGATTCCAGATTGGTGTTGACAGCCACTGTCCACCAGCCGGATCTGGCTCACAGCATGTTTTTGTAAATGAACTTTTACTGGAATCCAGCAACACCCCTTATTTATGTCTTGTCAGTGGCTGATTTTGAAATAAATATCATAGTTGACTAGTTGCAACACAGACCTTATCACCTACAGGCTAAAGTGCTATGTGGTTCCTTAAGAATAAAGACCTTTTCTAGCTTTCCATCACAGTGGTTAAAAGTTGCTTTGCTTTGCTTTGTAAATATTTATTATTTTCAAAATAGGTTTTGTTTCTATGTTGACTATAGACTAAAATTCATAATTTTTGCATATGACTACATTTATCAGTTCAGTTCAGTCGCTCAGTCCTGTCCGACTCTGCGACCCCATGAATCGCAGCACGCTAGGCCTCGCTGTCCGTCACCAACTCCTGGAGTTTACTCCAACTCATGTCCATCAAGTCGGTGATACCATCCAGCCATCTCATGCTCTGTTGTCCCCTTCTCCTCCTGCCCCCAATCCGTTCCAGCATCAGGGTCTTTTCCAGTGAGTCAACTCTTAGCATGAGGTGGCCAAAGTACTGGAGTTTCAGCTTCAACATCAGTCCTTCCAATGAACACCCAGGACTGATGTCCTTTAGGATGGACTGGTTGGATCTCCTTGCAGTCCAAGGGACTCTCAAGAGTCTTCTCCAACACCACAGTTCAAAACCATCAATTCTTCAGTGCTCAGCTTTCTTCACAGTCCAACTCTCACATCCATACATGACCACTGGAAAAACCATAGCCTTGACCAGATGGATCTTTGTTGGCAGAGTAATGTCTCTGCTTTTTAATATGCTATCTAGGTTGGTCATAACTTTCCTTCCAAGGAGTAAGCGTCTTTTAATTTCATGGCTGCAATCACCATCTGCAGTGATTTTGGAGCCCAAAAAAATAAAGTCTGACACTGTTTCCACTGTCTCCCCATCTATTTGCCATGAAGTGATGGGACCAGATGCCATGATCTTAGTTTTCTGAATGTTGAGCTTTAAGCCAACTTTTTCACTCTCCTTTTTCATTTTCATCAAAAGGCTTTTCAGTTCCTCTTCAGTTTCTGCCGTAAGGGTGGTGTCATCTGCATATCTGAGGTTATTGGTATTTCTCCTGGCAATCTTGATTCCAGCTTGTGCTTCCTCCAGCCCAGCGTTTCTCATGATGTACTCTGCATATAAGTTAAATAAGCAGGGTGACAATATATAGCCTTGACGTACTCCTTTTCCTAATTGGAACCAGTCTGTTGTTCCATGTCCAGTTCTAACTGTTGCTTCCTGACCTGCATACAGGTTTCTCAAGAGGCAGGTCAGGTGGTCTGGTATTCCCATCTCTTTCAGAATTTTCCACAGTTTATTGTGATCCACACAGTCAAAGGCTTTGGCATAATCAATAAAGCAGAAATAGATGTTTTTCTGGAACTCTCTTGCTTTTTCGATGATCCAGCAGATGTTGGCAATTTGATCTCTGGTTCCTCTGCCTTTTCTAAATCCAGCTTGAACATCTGGAAGTTCATGGTTCATGTATTGCTGAAGCCTGGCTTGGAGAATTTTGAACATTACTAGCGTGTGAGATGAGTGCAATTGTGCGGTAGTTTGAGCATTCTTTGGCATTGCCTTTCTTTGGGATTGGAATGAAAACTGACCTTTTCCAGTCCTGTGGCCACTGCTGAGTTTTCCAAATTTGCTGGCATATTGAGTGCAGCACTTTCACAGCATATCTGTGTTGAAAATCAGGTACTCAAAACAGGCTTGTTTTTTGAGGTCAAAATACTCTATTAACTGATATCTTTCACAAATAAGATTTGATGAAAGAAATTATTATATCTAAAAGTGGGTTTCAGTTTAAATTGTTTGACTTTCTAAAGAATGGATTTTGGTGTATATATGTTTCCTGATAGTTTTTTGGTTTTGATTTTTTTTTTTTTTAAGCAAAGTGGTTTCTAGGAAGCTGTTCAATTCAATTTACAGAAAATTACTTAAATCACTTTCATTCTCTTAACCAGTTGGATATCTTTGAATTTAACATTTCAGCTAATTAGAGCTGTTGAGCTTATTTGGATCTAATTTAAGCCATAAACTGTTTTAAGAAATGTGCTCTGTAACAGTACAACCAAAGAGAATGCCTCAAATTATTTATGTACATTTAAACAAACTAAGATCATGGCATCTGGTCCCATCACTTCATGGCAAATAGATGGGGAGACAGTGGAAACAGTGTCAGACTTTATTTTTGGGGGCTCCAAAATCACTGCAGATGGTGATTGCAGCCATGAAATTAAAAGACGCTTACTCCTTGGAAGGAAAGTTATGATCAACCTAGATAGCATATTAAAAAGCAGAGACATTACTTTGCCAACAAAGGTCTGTCTAGTCAAGGCCATGGTTTTTCCAGTGGTCATGTATGGATGTGAGAGTTGGACTGTGAAGAAAGCTGAGCGCTGAAGAATTGATGGTTTTGAACTGTGGTGTTGGAGAAGACTCTTGAGAGTCCCTTGGACTGCAAGGAGATCCAACCAGTCCATCCTAAAGGAGATCAGTCCTGGGTGTTCATTGGAAGGACTGATGTTGAAGCTGAAACTCCAGTACTTTGGCCACCTCATGCTAAGAGTTGATTCATTGGAAAAGACCATGATGCTGGGAGGGATTGGGGGCAGGAGGAGAAGGGGACGATAGAGGATGAGATAGTTTGGTGGCATCACCAACTCGATGGACATGGATTTGAGTAAACTCCGGGAGTTTGTGATGGACAGGGAGGCATGGCGTGCTGCGATTCATGGGGTCACAAAGAGTCAGACACAAGTGAGCAACTGAACTGAACTGAACTGAATCTTCATTGAAACTAACTATACATTATAGCCTCTTTTAAAAAAAATTTACACTTAATGGTTTTCCTTTCTAAATATTTTTAATATTTGCTACTTGTGTACTCAGGTACATATATTTGTATTTAGTGGTTTTATTTTTGGATCACTTTTTCTTTGTGATATTCATTTACATAAAGCAGTAGTAGATCAACATTAATTTTATATAGATGTGGAAGGATCATCAAAGATTAATTAACTCAGGTCTAGTTTCGTTAAGTGATTGCATTATTTGAAGTTATGCTGGATTATTTTCATGAGCTCTGCCTCTTTTTAAAGCAGAAATTAAGAAGAAATGTGAACTTACTAGAGAAGCTTGTTATGCAAGAGACATTGTCATGTTTAGTGGTCAACCTGTACCCAGGAAATGAGGGATATTCTCTGATGCTCAGGGGAAAAAATGGATCAGGTAAGACCCTCCAAAGGGCAGCAGCCACGAAACTGGGTCTCCTGGGCAGGATGTGTTGTGTTTTAGAGGGAGCTTCTCACCCTGCTGAGTGATCTGTCCTTTACAGCAGTGATGCCTGACAACAGAAAACTTTGATTTCAAATTTTCTTCTTTATGATGTTTTATTAGAATATGAGAAGTTAACTCTCCTGTGATTAGCCTTGCTGAATTTGAGAAATATTCTGACTGAGAAAGGTCTTTGAAATTAAATCATAAAAGGTGTCATTTTAAAATGTATCAAAATTTCCTTTCATTCTGTTGCTGTTTATGTATTTAAGATAGTGTAAGGTGTTTTAATCTGTTTTTCTTCTATGCTTTGAATATATTTTGAGTGTGAAACTTTCAAAGTTAAGCAGACTCAACTACCTTTTGAATAATCTTCAACATCTTATTCTGATTAATGTGAATGTCCAAATAGAATTTTAAAGTATTTACACTCTGAGATTTCACCAAAGAGACATTTAAATTTTGATTCGGTGATGATACTATAAGTTCTGTAAGGAACTTACCCAGTTAAAGATTTTTAAGGATTTTTTTTCTTGTGTTGGTCGTTATTGTAAAATGTAACACCAAGAGAAGTTTGGCCTGTAAGTAGTCATTTTTCAGAAGCTATACCAGATTATCAGTCTGACTTCAAGATTAGATTAAGGAATCCAAGGGAGTTTTAGTTAACAGTCGGAATTTTATCACACTCTGATTATTGTACTGCTGGCTGGGATTTGTTTTGTGATTGTTGTGCCAGATGTATTTCCATAGGATGTTAGGTATTTTTCTCTCTTCCAGTCTAAAACTGTTTATATACAGTTTATCAAGATTTTTATGAGGTGATTTATTTTTTAGACTTAAATGAAGGACTTCAGGAGAGCTTTTAGTTTTATTCTCTTTATTTTTATGAAAAGTTACGTAAATTATTACCTAAGCTTTTTGGCGAGCCTGATCACCTTCAGAAACATTTATGTTTTAAAATTAAGATTCTGAGACCATTCGACTGCCTTATGAAGAAGGAGAATTGCTTGAATACTTGGATGCAGAAGAATTACCTCCAATTTTGGTTGATCTCCTAGAAAAATCTCAGGTACAAAATTTTTCTCCATAAGCTATCCTTAGATTTGTCAAGTACATGTTGTTTTGTGATAAAGAATATTTCGTTTTACTCTCATTAGTTCTTGGAAAGGGAAGCGAGACCTAATATATATATGCCTATATGAAAATTGGTTTATTGTGGGATATTTATCCTTTAGGCTATATACTGAAATGTATAGATGTAGTTGATTAAGCTTCCAAAACAGAAAACAACAAAGTTGCCTGCTTAAGGTTCTCCAGTGTCCTCTCACTGTACAAAACTCCTGCCTTTGTATTTGTCTTCACCTCCTGATTCTCATCCCCACTCACTACGCTCCAGCCATCCATGCCATTTTTCTAGACTAAAACACACCAAGTTTATTCTTATCTTATTCATCTGCTCTTCTGTCTGGAGTGATCTCTCCCAGGTGTCTGGCCCTTTGCTATGATTCAAGTCTCAGCTGAAAATTACTCCAAAATTTTGCCTGAGCACACAGTCGAACTAAATTAGTCACTCTCTATTTTATTTTCTCTAGCATTCAGTCTCTCAGGTTATCTTGTTTTTGTTTACATGTTTATTGCCTGTCTTTCCACACTGATAGCAAGTATCTCACCACTTTATCTGTGAAGCTTCTTGGATACTTGAATAGTGCTTAACAGTTCACCTTGTAGTGGCTCAGTAAACATTGGTTAAAAAGCGTGAACAGAAAAATGACTGATAACATGGAAATCTCAGTACTCATTTGAGTTCTAAATGGTGAAAGAAACACAAAAGACCATAATCAACTGTCAGTCAGTTCAGTTGCTCAGTCGTGTCTGACTCTTTGCGACCCCATGAATCGCAGCATGCCAGGCCTCCCTGTCCATCACAAACTCCCGGAGTTTACTCAAACTCATGCCCATCGAGTTGGTGATGCCATCCAACCATCTCATCCTCTGTCATCCCCTTCTCCTCCTGCCCCCAATCCCTCCCAGCATCACGGTCTTTTCCAATGAGTCAGCTCTTCGCATGAGGTGGCCAAAGTACTGGAGTTTCAGCTTCAGCATCAGTCCTTCCAATGAACACCCAGAACTAATCTCCTTTAGGATGGACTGGTTGGATCTCCTTGCAGTCCAAGGGACTCTCAAGTCTTCTCCAACACCATAGTTCAAAATCATCAATTTTTCGGCGCTCAGCTTTCTTCACAGTCCAACTTTCACATCCATACATGACCACTGGAACAACTACAACCTTGACCAGATGGACCTTTGTTGGCAAAGTAATGTCTCTGCTTTTTAATATGCTATCCAGGTTGGTCATAACTTTCCTTCCAAGGAGTAAGCGTCTTTTAGTATATGTGCTGCTGAAGCGAGCACAGGGTAAGCGTCTTTTAATTTCATGGCTGCAATCACCATCTGCAGTGATTTTGGAACCCCAAAAAATAATCAACTGTGGCAAGTGATAATTAGCAAGACTTGAGTGATACACTTCCTTACCTTTGGACTTAGAACTAGAAAATAATATCATTAGCAGGAGATTATTATTTGAATTAATGTTAGCTTTCTTCCTCTTATTAGTGAAACCTGTCTCTTGGAAATTTTAGCAGAGCAGATATAGCAGTTGTATCTGTAAGCTGAAATTCTGGCATGGTTTATTAACAAATTTATAACAGTGACAGTGTTAGCAGAGTACAACAGTGACCCAGTGAGTGTCAAGAACAGCAGTTCCGGTGATCTGTAACATTTAATAGTAAATAAATGGCAAATGTCAGTCTGCAACTAGGAAACAGTGTTAAACTGCTTCCTGAGTCAACAGTGATGAACATAAAACAGTTCCCTTTTCAAAGAGTGTGTGTGGTGGTGAATTCACCAAGGAATTTTGAGTATGTGGATGGTCAGAAGCAGTGCATGAGAATGCCAAGAACCTGAAACATTCAGTATAAACCTACGTACTTAGGCTTTTGAAAAATGGCATTTACTTAAATATTTTCACTCAAAACAGGTTAATATTTTTCATTGTGGATGCGTCATAGCAGAAATACGTGACTATAGGCAGTCCAGTAATATGAAATCTCCTGGTTACCAAAGTAGGCACATTCTGTTACGTCCAACAATGCAGGTAAGGAATGTTTAATTAAGAAATACTTCAGATTTCATTTTGAGTTTTACCTATTCAATGTTTTCTTGTGTTTGTATGCCTGTATAGTAATATTTTTTAATTATTTCTTTTAGACTTTAATCTGTGATGTACATTCAATAACAAGTGATAACCATAAGTGGACCCAGGTTAGTTCTGTTGTTTTTTTAATCCCAAACAGGTAATGTATAGGATGAAGCAATACTTACTAAGTTAAGCAAAAGATATTTCCTGCTCATGATTTGATTTATGAGTAAAGTATCTGGTTCATTATGAGCTCTACAAAGATGCATTAATCCTACAAGAAACTAAACTTCAGTTCCAGTTGCTTTAGGACATGGTAAACTAGGGTGAGGTTGACCTAATCTACCCAGTGTGAAACTTAGTTTTTTATCCTCTCAAGTAGAATGTTTTGTTTGCACAGTGGATACAAATAGATGCTGATATTCTGTCATCTTGGGTTCTAAAGCACACCTAACCTGTCTTTTTGCCATCTGTACTGGGTAGAGCCCTAGGAACCGACCTCTCTTACTGAGAGAGTAGCCAGTTAGTCCTCCAGTGCTGATTCAGTGAGGTGCCCATTCACAAGGCTGTTTATTTCTCTGTTACTATAAAGAGGAATAGTTACTAAAGAAAATGTCAGTAATGAAAATTATTTTAGCTGTGAAATAGGATTATAAAATAAGATTCAATTCATCAGTAACTGTCAAGCATTGTGTTTTAGTTTGGGCTGTAATCTTCATTTATAAGGGTAGTATAAGGTTAAAAGCTGTTAAAAAAATATTCAAAAACAAAATCATTGGTCATCTGGAGATTCCAAGGGTATTGATTTCAAACTCTGGCAATTGGTAAATAAAGGGAGAGGCTATATGCTTTATTGTACCTTTTCAAGGAAAATTCTTTAGAAAAATTTCATTTTCATGTGAAAATGTCATCAACCTTAGAATATTATTGAGTCTAGACAGCTGTATTTCTTAAATGTGAAAAACCTATAGTGTAAACAAAAACTCTATGACCTCTAGAACAGTGCCTCACATATTATAGGTGCTTAGTAAATATTTGTTGGGCTAACAGACAGGCATTCTTCCAGCTTGACCAGTTTGTCCAAATTATTGAAATTCCATTAGTGGTGTCATGCTGTTCAGTTTGTAAAGTTTACACACTTAAGTTGGTACTTGAAATACTACATTTTACTCTGTTCCTTAGCAGAAATACTCCCAGGAATATTTCTAGATTAAGTGATGTGTACGATTTGAAAATCTTAAAGCTAGTACTGATATTTACTCTTACCCATTTCAGGAAGACAAACTTTTGCTTGAGAGCCAACTGATTCTGGCTACAGCAGAACCACTGTGTCTTGATCCTTCCATAGCTGTAGCCTGCACTGCAAACAGACTGCTCTATAACAGGCAAAAGATGAACACGCGCCCGATGAAACGGTAATCACCTTTGTGGAAGGATAAACCGAAAGAGAGTTAGAGAGCTCTGAATTTTGACATTTATGGTATCTTTTCCCTCTAAAGAGTAAAAGTGTAAGAATTAGGATTTTTTTAAAATACTCTTCTTTATTTTGAAATGATGTGTTCTGTGCATTCTTTTGAAGAACAAACTACCTATAAATTCAGTCTGTTCACCAAAAAGAAATTCTGAGCAGAGACAAGTGTGAGAATAAAGAATAATTTATCCCGTCCTAATACCAGTGTAATTTTTGTTAATGTTTCCTTTAAAAAAATCAATTTATAATTTCTTTTACAGTTCTGGAGGAAAGTGATTATAGTTTGAGAAGTCAAATTATAACTAAATGCCTTTTTATAACATGGTAATTTGTCTTTGAATATTTTAACCATCTCAATAAAGTAAAAGAATGCATATTAATTTAGACTGCAGTTATAGTTGGCTCATCATTAAGTTCTCTTTGGGTAATTTGTTTCAGTTGTCCACTTTGGATCTTCAAGTTTGAAGGGGCTGAAGTAACCTACCCATTTTCTAAATTCTCTGTTTTACTGTTGAAGTAATAAATGCTGAGGAAAAGGTATAGCTTTGGAAATAGTGAAATAAGTCCATAGAGAATCCGTGAGCAGTCCCATAAAGTGTCCTGGAACCTCTTTCCACATCTCTCCACACCCGCTGCCAGTTCCTTAGACCAAGCCACTGTCATCTTCATCTTCATCTTGACTTCTGTGATAAAACGCCTTCCTAACTGGTCTGACTGCTTCACCTTTGCTCCCTTGTGGTCTGTTTGCCATGCAGGCAAACCAAAGTAATGTTTTAAAAACCTCAAAGCAGATCATGCTACCACTTGCTTAAATCCCTCTAACACCATCCCATTGTACTTTATGTTATCATTCATCTGCAAGGCCCTTGGCTTGCTCTTTGACCTCATTTCCTGCTGGTGCTCTAGTCCCGCCTGTATTTTTCATTTTTGAAAACAAGCCAGCATTGTTCCTGCCTCAAAAACTTAAAATTCTCTGCTTCAAATATTCATTTCCTGATCTCTCCACAGGGTGTTTCTTCTTGTCATGTCTTAGCTCACACAAGTTTTTCAGAGTCCTTCCTACCCTCCCCTAGTGTTGCCCTCTATATCACTTATTCCTCCCAGGACTCTGGTTTTTACGCATACTCTACTGTTGTTATCTGGAGTGATCTGACCTGTTCCTTTGTGAATGTATATGTGTCTCCCCTTCTTGACTGTCAGCTCCATGGAAGCAGGAATTGTGTTCATCATGTTCATTTTTATTTCACCAGTGCCTGGAACATTACTTGGCAAGTGACATTGTTCTCCAGATATTTGTGATTTAATTACACATTTTTAAAACCATATTTATTCTGAGTTTCTTTTATTAGCCTGGTGTATCAATAGTTCTAATCTCTTAATATTCCAGATGTTTCAAGAGATATTCCAGGTCCTCTCTGAATCGGCAGCAGGATATGTCCCATTGTCCACCTCCTCCTCAGCTAAAATTACTTGATTTCTTACAAAAAAGAAAGGAAAGAAAAGCAGGTCAGCATTATGACCTCAAAATTTCTAAAGCAGGAAATGTAAGTATATGTTTTTAAATGAAGCTTATTATGCCAAATGCCTTATTTTACATCTTAAGTATATTTATTTATACTGTTTTTAATTTTTTTAGTGTGTAGATATGTGGAAACGGAGTCCCTGTAATTTGGCTGTACCTTCTGAGGTGGATGTAAGTTAGTTCATGAATTGCACTTATTTTCATATATAAGATTCCTAAATCTCACTAATAGTATCTTATACTTGGGAAAACAGAGATTCTTATTACTACTACTTTTCTCTGTTAATTTTATTGAATGAAAGATTCTTTAAATTATATAGTGCTTTACAGTTTTCAAAATTTTCACACACATGATTTTATACAATCCCATAATAACCACTTTTTCCCCCCTAGTTTTAACCACTAGTTCATTCTCCATATTTGTGCAAAAACACTTCTTAAGTCAACTGCTCATTTTCAGAAGCTGCTCTTTCATATTACTTGTCTAAGTATGTAACTCCTTAATATAGTTTGTATTTAGAGCAGGAAAAATAGGCAAAGTATTTCCAAATGTGTAAGAAGATGGTACATATTACATTATATGCATAAAATGCCTCTTGATTTTTTTTCATAATATTTCATCATAATTTCCTGATAATGCTTCTCACTGGTCAAATTTAAAAGTTAACAATGTTGGAGCAGTGGTCAAGGTTTGCATCCTTGAGTAGTATTCTTTGCTGGTCTGTAATGTACATGAACTATAAATAAGCAAAGACAGGAAAGAGCTCTTTTGATAGGAGGTTCCATGTTTCTTTTATTTTCCTGTTTCTCCTGTTTTTATTATTCATTAAACTCACTAGAAGTGGTTAGTTATTTTAACAGGTGTTTGCTCGGGTGCATACTTCCTAGGCTAGCACAGTTGTAAATCTTACTATCTGTGATTTTAAAAAAATTTTCAAAAGCACAAAGCCAAAAAAGCATTAGAAGTAGACTGTATATACAATATACAACTCAAGAGAGTAAGCCACATTATCTTTCAGTGTGTGTCTTATCTATACACCCCCAAGGAACATGGCCTGAGAAGAGATGTTCAGTGCAAATACCAAAGGGAGGAATTCACTTCAGAGGGCAATCTGGGTATATAAAGCAGTGCTTCCCAAACCTTAATGTACACAAGAATCACGTGGATTGCTTATTAAAGTGCAGATTCCAATTTGGCAAGTCTGGGCTAGGGCCTGATCTGCAGTACTTGACAAGCTTTTAGGTTGCATGGTACTAGGTTCTGCAGACCTTACTTTGAGTAGCAAAGCCTTAATACAAAGTTTCTCAGTCTGATCAGTTGAAACATCTAGAATACCAGTTAAACATACAGATTTAAAGCCCCACTTCAGTTCAACTTACTGAGTCAGGTCTCCAGGGGAGGGACATGGGAATCTGAATTTTTACCAGATGCCCAAGTGAGTCTGTTACTCTTAAGAATCATGGTTACCAGAAAGATGAGAACTTTCGGTTCACAGAGTCTGGTAGAAAACACATGGAATATATGGTTTGAGTTTGACAAGAAAATAGAGATTTACAGAAATTTTACCAATTTTAATATAACTGCCCTAGTCTCTTTCTAGTTGTGTCCGCACTGTTGCCTGACAACTCCAGGACAGTGAAGTCACTCAGTCATGTCTGGCTGTTTGTGACCCCATGGCCTGTAGCCCACCAGGCTCCTCCGTCCATGGGATTTTCCAAGCAGGGATACTGGGGTGGGTTGCTGTTTCCTTCTGCAGGAGATCTTCCCCGCCCAGGGATCAAACCCGGGTCTCCCACATTGTAGACAGACGCTTTACCATCTGAGCCACCAGGGAAGTCGATTCCAGTAAAGACTCAGCCAAAATAAAAGATCCTGGTCCTAATCACTTCTCTGACATCCCAGTTTTCCTGAAAGATAAATATGATACCTACTTTAGGAATAAAAGGAAGAGGCATTTGTGTTTATTACATTTGTTTAATGGCAAAAGAGATCCTAAATTTTTTATATTGTAAAACCAGTTGGTCTAATTGAATATATATCAGGAGAATTTTAAACTACTTAAGCATAAATAGTTGGTGTTATTAGTGATTCAAGAATTCTTGTGCTAAAAAGCATATTGTATTAAGTTACTTATGTTTTTGTCTATGGTCATAATACTGATTTCATTATATCTGGTGTCTCTTGATTTGGTTGCTTAGGTGGAAAAATATGCCAAAGTAGAAAAATCTATCAAGTCTGATGACTCACAACCAACAGTCTGGCCAGCCCATGTAAGTAGCCGCTGTAGGCTCCATTTCTTTTGATGCCATTTCTAATCTGGGATCTGAATTTATTAAACATAAAGCACAATAGCCTTTCCTTTGGGGTCTCCTTCTGTTTTTTAAAGAATGGCAAGGCAGACTGCCACTGAGCCACCAGGGAGGTCCCCTGGGCGGTCTTAAGTAGGCCTCCATGTGTCCTAATTGCTGGATACAAGTGAGTGTGTCACTTACCCCTGGTTTTTGTTAATTCTGATGATGTATTTTCGGAAGAGGGTATTTATTTGGGATATTTTTTTCCAGGATGTAAAAGATGATTATATATTTGAATGTGAAGCTGGTAATCAGTATCAGAAAACAAAGCTGACCATTTTGCAGTCTCTTGGTGATCCACTTTACTATGGTAAAATCCAGCCATGTAAAGAAGATGAGGAGAGTGACAGTCCGATGTCGCCATCCCAGTGAGTTCTTTTAAATACATGTATTTGACCAAGTAAACCGTCAAAGAGTTTATTCAGTGACTACTGATGAGCTATTGATGAACAAAAATTTCCCCTTTTTGTTAACTTCAGTTAGATTTGGCAGCAGACCTCAGTAAATTTAAATTGTAGTTACCACGTTGTGAAGTTCTTTAAAATAGTAGTTTCTTTTTTTAAAACTATGCTTAATTATTTTTATATTTGCTATAAAAGATATGCCTGTGCTATTCCTTTTGGTATATTTATTTATATGATGCCACTTACGACTTTTGGGGGCTTCCCTGGTACTCCGACAGTAAAGAGCCCATCTGCAATGCAGGAGACCTGGGTTCGACCTGAGTAGGGAAGATTCCCTGGAGAAGGGAATAGCAACCCATGCCAGTATTCTTGCCTGGAGAATTCCATGGACAGAGGAGCCTGGCGGGCTACAGTCTGTGGGATTGCAAAGAGTTGACACAATGGAGTGACTAACACTTTCACTTTCACTTATGACTTTAACCTCTGTGAGCATAAAATGCTTCTGGCAATAATTCGTTTAAGTGGGAAACAAGTTTACTGTAAATGTAAAAGCTGTTTAAAATGCTTGATATTTCAGCACTGCCTGTAAGGAAACAGACTCAGTGCTTCATGTAGTTACTGGGTCTAGAAATATATTTACATGGGACTTCCCTGCAATCCAGTGGATAGGACTCCACGCTACCACTGCAGGGCCAGAGATTTGATCCCTGGTGATGGAACCAGGATCCTGCAGGCTGCATGGTGTGGCCAAAAACAATAGAAAGCAATATGTATAAAGTTGTTCCTCGTTACCGCAGGGCACTGGTCCCATGACCCCTTGGGTACCAAAATCTGCAGATGGTCATCTCTTATGTCGAAATAGTACGCAGTTGCAACTTAGGCACATCCTCTAGGTTACTTACAATACCTAATACAATGTAAATGCCATGTAAATAAGTAGTAAATACAACTTAAATGTTTTATAAATAGTTGCCAGCCCATGGCAAATTCAGGTTTTACTTTTTGGAACTTTCTGGAATATTTCTCTCTTCCCCACCCCACCCCCCCAAATATTTTCACTCCATAGTGGTTGAATCTGAGAATACAGAATCTGCAGATACAGAGGGCCAACTGTACTTGATCTTTCTAAACTTATGGGCTGCATATGTTTACTACGAGGTACCCAGTATTTAGTTTTAATGTTTTATTATTGATTCTGTTCTTTTAGTCAAGTTGATCCTGTTTTGAAAAGAAGGAAAAAGAGAACTTGAGCAGAAAAATAGCAAGAGCCAGCTCTATGTTAAATCATCACAAAATACAAGTTGAAACTATAACAGAAAGATGGATTTTAAAGAACAACCTCACCAATACCTAAGTAAAAGTCACTAGGAGGAAATAGTAGCAGTCAGGGGATCCTCAGCTACTATTTTATTTATACTTAGTAGAAAGACAAGATATTTTGATTAGCCATATTTTTTAAGTCTTCCCTTTAGAAACACACGTTGGTCATTTTAAATAGTTACTAAATTTTCTGAAACACAGTGGAATGACATATGATCCCTCATTAAAAAAAAAGTTGGTTCAGAAAGCCAACTGGTTATATTTGTTTGACAATTAGAGAATTGAATTTTTTGCCTTTTACTTCAGGACATTGCTGCAGAAATGCTGCATGGCTTATTACCTTCCAGTCATTCTCCCATATTCATAAATTACTTGATTTAATAGCTATGAAGTTAAAGTTTGAGCTGCATTAACAAGTTTTTTCTTTTTTTTTTTTACATTTTATATTTCAGCTTCTCCACAGATGATCATTCAAATTGGTAATTAAAAAATAAACAAACTCACTATTTTAATCTGTTAAGAAATCATATAAATGTCATTCTTTTAAAAGAGTTGGTAAAGACTTTATTTGAATTGGCGATAAACTCTTGTTTGTCAAAATGTATTCTAAGGTCCTGATATGTAAACATTAATATTGACTTACAAAATCAAAAGTTTAAAGCTAGAGGAAGGCCACAGGCCTTGTACAAGGTAGTTCAGTGAATTTTGGTGTAGGACAGACACTTGTAAGGGTATGAAGCACTTGGCAACTTTCAGCCCCAAATCTCCCTTAAATTAAATCAGCCAATTTATTCACAGAATTATTTTGTAATGCATGCAAGACTTGGTCATCACTTAATATTTTTTAATGTGTTTTCGATATTTTTTTCATGATATGATAGAGTTTAATTCTATATTTAAAATTACTGAAAGCCTTCAAAAGTAATCTCGGGGCTCCATAAAACAAGTATTTAATACTTTTCTCTTTTCTTAAAAAATAATTTAGGTTTGTTATTGGATCAAAGACTGATGCTGAGAGGTAAAAATATTTGCATCTTTATTTTTGATTGGATTGATATGATAAACTTTACTCTTGCAGGATAGAGAATACTCTGTTAGGAGTCAAAGCTTTAATTCTAATTATATCTCAGGTACTCTTAGGATTTTTAAATAGAATTAAGAAAGTAACAATTAAAAGGATAATGTTTAAAATACAGCTTTATTTTAAATAAAACTTAGATATATCTATAATAGCTAAGGAAAATGAGTTTTCGGTAGTCTTTTAATCAGAATATAAGTCAGAGTCAATGGTTAATTCTTTTGACTGCTTATTGGTGAAATAATCCCTGTAATTTTATATTAGAGACAAGATACTGAAAGGATCTTTAAATAGTTAATTAGCAAAATGTTTTCAGCTTTAGCTTGTTACTGAAAAATTAAAAGACTGCTTTTATCAAAGATAAATTGTCTAAATTTTAATTTTTGTGTTATTTTTCATAGAACTTTTTTCATTAACAGTTATTCATTTTCTATGTAATCAATTTATGTTTAAAATAGAGTTAGCTAATCATTACTTGTTTTCCCCCTGTTATTTCAGAGTAGTCAATCAGTACCAGGAATTGGTCCAGAATGAAGCCAAATGTCCAGTGAAGATGTCGCATAGCTCCAGTGGCTCAGCCAGCTTGAGTCAGCTTTCTCCAGGGAGAGAAACTGAAGTGTGTTTGGTTAACTCTTTTGTGCTGTTACTTTTTCCTGCCTGATTGTTCTCAAGGAATGTGAGAAATATTAACGACTAGTTTTTGAGGGATTGTTGCCATCCAGTTGCTAAGTCGTGTCTAACTACAACCCCATAGACTGCAGCACACCAGGCTTCCCTGTCTTTTACCATCTCCTGGAATGTGCTCAAACTCATGTCCATTGTTTAGTTTTGTATTTACTTTTAACTTTAATTTTCTTTTCATTATTTAACTTTATATAATGGAAATTTTCAAACGTACACAGGTATAAAACAAAAATTGTAATGGACATCTGTGTATACTAATCACCTGCCTGACTTCCACAGCTATCATTTTTCTGGGGAAGATTTAGGGGTTAAGCTTTGCTGTCATCTTACTCTGCTCTTCTCCTTCAAAATCTTTCTTCACCTTTTTAGTCAGAAATATTTCTCCCTTTGTGAAGTTGCAGTCTTTTGAAATATGTGTAATACCTAATCTTTTTAAACTGTGTTTTCGTCCAGAAGTTGCAGTGTTGTGAATTTGTGAATCTCTGATTTGAGTTCATTTTAATGAGTATGCTTAATGTCATTGTCTCTCAGCAGCCTGAGACCGTGTCAGTTCAGTCGTCAGTCCTGGGGAAGGGAGTGAAACATCGACCTCCACCCATCAAGCTTCCCTCAGCCTCAGGAAATAGTTCCTCAGGTATTGCCTTCCTTAATTGCCTATAATCTAGAGTAAGAAGCAGATGATCATAATCCATTTACTCATATTTTGATTTGCTCAGAATTTTTAATTGTAAATCTAAGAAATAGCAGAATTCATAGAATGTTAAATTGTAAACCTAGCAAATAACTTCTACATTTTTTTCCCTAGGTAACTATTTTACACCACAACAGGCCAGCAGCTTTCTTAAATCTCCAACTCCTCCTCCTGCTTCTAAGCCACCAAGTCTTTCTCGGAAGTCATCCGTGGATCTTAATCAAGTTAGCATGCTTTCTCCAGCTGCCCTATCACCTGCCAGTTCATCACAAAGTAAGTTGTAACTTAAGTTCTTCATTAACTCTTCATAAGCTTTTGCATTAGTGTTTCTTAAGATAGTTCTTCCAGTGAAATAGTGAAATCTGAATGTACTGTCTACCCAAAATGTACAAGTTTTAAGAAGCTTCAGGCAGATCTTGTTGACTGTATGTATTATGTGTTTATTGTAATTGTATTTGTTTTTCTGTATTTATGTATGCAGCTTGTGTATACCTTTCTTATAGACTTGCAACCTACACATCTCCTGAAAAAATTAATCTGATAGCTAAATGTAGCAGTAAGATTCCAAATTATTTTTTATACCAGTGTAACTTAGGACATTTTACATTTTATGTAAACTATGCAGCTGATACAGAAAAAAATGTCGTATGAGTTGTTGCTGCAGTCCTATCTTCGTAAATGTAAGAAGTAAACTGAAAGCTAGTTTTTTAATAATACCCATACACTCTCATTAATTGCTGTCAGTTACTAAAATGTGGGATGATCATAAAGCATTCTGAAGATAATAAAATTAATTTTTACTACTGAATATTTTTTTTAAACATCAAGAAGAATTTGCTCAAGAATTTTAGCATTAGTTTGAATTTCTTCAAATTAACAAATATCTGAGATACTTAGGTACCAACTTGCAAATAAAAAAAGCATTCCAGTTTTTTAGATTTTTTAATAAATGACTAATATGTGCTGAAAGTTTTAGTACACTGCACAGTGACAGGGTGGTCTTTGCATTAGATGTAAACATCTTCATCTTGATAGCTCAAAAGGTGTAATTTTTCTGCCTTCTTGTTTTGCACAAAGAAAAAATTTATAAATTTCCTGAAAGTCTTATTCACACTTCTTATGTTGTGGGTATGGATTATTATGTTAATCTACTGCACACAGTTGTTACTTTAAGTAAGGGTTGAGTGACAGCTTCTGGACATTCACATTTCTTTCCTTTCTTTCTGCAGGACATGAAAGCTAAAAAAGAAAACACCTCAAGAGCTTTTGGTTTTATTTTTCTGGTTTTTGTTTTTTTATTTTTTGTTTTTTTTTTTTTAAAAAGTTGATAAACTGTGCATACTTCATTCACAACAGATTTTCTATACATTCTACATTTAAACCGAAGTACACAGTTACTGTTAAAGATGCAGTATTATCTATCAAATACTTGCTTTATTACTGTGTTTTGTAAAATTTGTTTGTCAGGGTAAATTTGATGTGTTAGGAATTAAGTATGTATATTTAGGTGCCAAATACGATGGTTAACTGTATGTAATTTATTAAATATGTTCAGAGTTTTATCTCAGACTGTTAACAGAAAATAAGCAATATTTCTAAGTGATGTCCTAAATTAGTGAAATCGTAAATAACAAAACTTAATTTTAATTCCTTTTAAAGTTTTTAGGCCACAGATAGCATGGTAGGAAACTAACTTTTAAATGGGTTTTGTGATAGAATACGAATGTATATTTTTACTGTTACTGTAATAGCATCTCTGATGGCATTTGTAGGTGATATACTGCATCCTTAATTGTAATTGAGTGTAGCAACACTCATGTATCATGTGTAGAAATTAACACTTGCAGTTAACTGCTTTAAAAAAAAAAACTGGAACAGACTGTCAGTGCTAAATAAGATTCCATTAACCTTATTTGAAAAAGGACTGGCCATTTATAACAAACTAGCAATTTTTATTTTTCTCAATGAGCAGGATCTGGAACTCCTAAGCCATCTACTCCTACACCAACCCCTTCATCGACCCCACACCCTCCTGATGCTCAGAGCTCAACTCCTATTACCCCTTCAGCTACCCCTACTCCCCAAGATTCAGGCTTCACCCCTCAGCCCACTTTGTTAACTCAGTTTGCTCAGCAGCAAAAGTCTCTGAGCCAGGCAATGCCTGTAACGACCATTCCTCTTTCCACCATGGTGACATCCATAACCACAGGAACCACAGCCACCCAGGTCATGGCAAACTCTGCTGGACTTAACTTCATCAATGTAGTGGGCTCTGTTTGGTAAGTTTACACCAAAGCCCCGATTTTTTTTTTTTTTTTTAAGATAATCTCACCAGTCTAAAGAAATTACTTGTGAAATTAAAATCAAATTGTTTATTGTTGAAACTGAAAAAAACGGTTTCTGCATGACTAGAATTTATCTCAAAGAAGTACATTTGAATTTTAGGTAGTAATACATCCATTATAGGCACTAAGGTGGTACTACTGATTTCACATTGACAGCAGCTTAGATTTTTCTTGTTTATTCTGTGTTACCATCTTTTAATCCATTGATGAGTACATTACTCTACCAGATTATATTTTAAACCTTGGTAGATACATAGCACTTAATTTTTGCCAACTTCGCTGTTGATATTTAAGACAGAAATATCTGTGTTTGTGAAGCAGTTTGTTTTTTAATCCAAGGATTTATGTAGCTGATTTTTCTTTTACAGCACTAGTCTAATGCTTTGTCTTATTCTCCTGCAGTGGAGCTCAAGCTTTGATGAGTGGTTCAAACCCTATGCTGGGCTGTAACACTGGTGCCATAACTCCTGCAGGAATAAACCTGAGTGGCCTTCTACCCTCAGGAGGTCTGCTACCAAATGCATTGCCGGGTGCAATGCAGTCAGCCTCTCAAGCAGGTCAGAATATTGGAAATAATAACCTCTAACAAAATTAACACTCCATACTTATGTTAAAATGTCATTTAAGTGATGTTAAACATTTAACATCCTTTTTTAATGAAATATTATGTTGAAAATATTTCCTTTCAAAAGCTTTTAAAATTCTCATATTTGAATTAAAAACCATCTGGCTATCAAATTCTCTGGAGAAACTTGGTAAACCTGTAAGTCTTTGCAAATTTTATCTTTGACTTTCAAACATTAGTATAAAAGTAACTGATGGTTCCCAGTGTAGTCCTGCTCCAGGTAAAAGAAACATATTTTGAAAACATAGGTAAGCAGGAAAAGCAACATAGCATGGCATTTAAAAGCCTCAGTTCTGAAGCCAGACTGCCTAGATTGAATCCTTCTTGTGTAACTTACCATAACTGCATAATCATAGCAAAGTTACCTTTGGGCCTCATTTTCCTTATAAATAAAATAAAGATGATAATAATAATGCTTTACCTCACAGTTGTGAAGATTAAATGAATAAATACAGATGAGGTATTTATGCCTGGGATGTGATAAACATTCAAAAATAACTGCTGTCACCATCATTAGTAGTAGTTTATTGTGGTAGTTGTAGTAATGTAATTACATGTACTGGAAAAATGTTTTAACAACTTGTGCTACTTTTAAAGTTCTTTAAGAGAATGTGTTGTAGAACAGTCTCATTTCTTACTCAGAAAAAAAAGATTAACAGAAAAACAAACTCAGCATAGTAAGAAAAACTTAACTATGAGTTAGGAGAAACTTTCTGTGAGTAGGAGAAAGAGAACCCAAAGAATATAATATGAATATGTTTAATATATTGCTGTGATTTTCTAATTCTACCTGATATATCCTTAGTTTAATGTGTGTAAGTATGTTTTAGTGGTAGGAGCCCTGGAAAATGGAATCAGTGTTGAATTTGGGATATTATATTTACATGTAATTCTTCTAATTACTCGTAGCTCCAAATGCTTATTGTAGGGCCTGGAAGAAGTCACTTAATTGTTCCCCCTCAACCTCAGTTTCAACCCACTCCAGTACTCTTGCCTGGAAAATCCCATGGACGGAGAAGCCTGGTAGGCTGTGGTCCATGGGGTCGCGAAGAGTCGGACATGACTGAGTGACTTCACTTTCACTTTCCACTTTCATGCATTGGAGAAGGAAATGGCAACCCACTCCAGTGTTCTTACCTGGAGAATCCCAGGGACAGGGGAGCCTGGTGGGCTGCCGTCTATGGGGTCACACAGAGTCGGACACGACTGAAGCGACTTAGCAGCAGCAGCAACCTCAGTTTCATCTGTTCTAAAACCGGAGTAAATGTTGCTACCTTAAGTGGCTACTTACAAGAAAATAAATGAAGTGATATGGAAGTGCCTTTAGTAAGCTATAAAGCATTACCCAGATGTCATCCACCCTTAAAGGGAGTTATCTCTGTCTCTTTTTTCTTTTATGAGAATTCCTGGAGGGGCTATCCGTATTGTCACATTTTTATCTGGTTATGCTTTTTCCGTTTTTCAGACAGGCCTTTAATGCTGTCTTTTGTGCATTATCTACCCTTTATCTTTTTAAATACAATTACCTGCTTAGAGGACAAGTTACCTTTTAAACTAGAGTTCAAATTGGTATATTTAGTGAGGAAGATACATACATACTTGAAGACTGGTATCAGCAAACAGTTCAAGCTAAGAATAGTTTTACGTTTTTTAAGGTTTGTTTTATTAAAAATAGATAGGAGGAAGAAGAAGGGACAGAGTCTCTGTGGCCCACGAAGCCTACTGGAAGCGTCTGCCAACGCCTGCTTTCGGATTTGCTCTGTGCTATGTCACAGATTTGGCGGAATAAGTTCAGGATTCACAGAGCATTGTTTCCTGACTTTCAGCTTGATCCTTACACACAAAATTCGGTGTTCTTCAGCATTATTAATGTTCGCATTTGCACTTTTAAGAAACATCACAAAGCACACTGGTTCTGAGACAGGGCTATTGATCACATGCCGTGTAGCACTGAGAAATATAAGTAGATAGCAATGTGTGAGACGTGTTTCCACAGCAGTGATGGTTTTATCATACCTGTGGTGTCTGCATGCTGCCAGATTACTTTTCCAGCCAGTAGTTTAAGTAGTTATAAAGAAGTCTCAGTTTCTGAAATACAGAATATAAGGTACATCTGGTGCTTCACGTCTTTGAATAAGATCTCATTATCAGCAAATAGTGATGAAATTGGGGGGCTGGGTTTAAGAAAATGTTAAAGTATAGAAAATAAGCACATCTGTGGCAGAGAGTACTTAAAATTTTTTTTTAGATGCTAAAGTATAAAGTACCTCCAAGTATAATAAAGTTTTAATTTCCTGTTTTAACCATGAGTTTTATTTAATAGGTGTTCCATTTGGTTTAAAAAATACTTCAAGTCTCAGGCCCTTAAATCTACTCCAGGTAAACCCGAAACACTGCTTTTGATAGTTTTTTATTTTTATTTTGTAAAGTTTTTTATAGTGCTTTTTGTTTTTTAGCCATGTATGTTTGCACATTTTAGCATTTGAAGTTCTGAGGTTGTTGAGAATCATCTGAAAGTATGGTTAAGTGGGTAAGTGGGAGAAAATTGGTGCCCATGTACCACACTTCCGTTGGCTCTGACAGCCCTGCCAAATTAAGAACTAGTTCCAGAGGGGAGAGTTCACAGATGCCAAGAAGAATAACTTGCCTACAGTAGTAGCAGCAAATATACTTAGAAATTAATTGTTCTGTCACAGACTTTTTACGTGTATACAGAAGTATTGCTGTTTGCTTACAATAGATTTTATACATGAATAGAAGGTTTTTAGATTAGGTATGTGTGTTCTTTTCCTGAGGATAGTATGACTTAATAGCACAGTGCCAGGCAGGTGACTATTCAATCACTACTGAATAGTCATTCAGTAAATGTCCATTAGGTTACAGTTTGTGTCAAGTGATAAGACTTTTCTGATACGTTTTCTCAGTATTAACATACAAAGAGAAAAGGTAGGTAGAGAATTTAGTACATGTTGTGAACTTAGAGTATTCTGGGCTGTGCTTGGTCCTTTAAGGATCGCGGTCAGTATTAAGCCTAGTAGGTTGGAAATGGATGAGATTGTCTACAAGAATTGTCAGAAAAGGTAGACCTGAAATTAAAGATTTGGAGACACAGAATGGCAGAGCTATGGATTATTGGAAAATAATTATCACATCCATCCAACCTGATATTCAGAAATAATAAATCAGGAAATACATTTAGAACTAAAACCTTAACTTACTTCCTATACAGTATGCAGACAGTGTCAGTATTTACAGACTCATCGCAGAATAATCTAATTATAATATGGACACTTTGGATTAGCTTGTTTAACCCGCTTTCCTGCATTTTGCTGTAGGAATTTCTGTAGGGATCAAGCTCAGTGTTAAGAGTAGTGGCATTCCTTAATAGCACTGATAATAAAGGCAAAAACCACCTTACAAATTATATTCTGCTACATTTTTATTATCTAACTAATTGAGAAAGAAACACTTGGCCTGTACTTTGTCCAGATTTACCTAACAATGAGCTATGCTGGGTGTGGAACTTTTGACCCTAGACACCTCTTTTTTGACTATACAGATCTAAGAGTTTCTCACTTGGTATTTGCTTGGACTTTGCCCCAAAACTTCAAAGTGCTTTTAACTTAAACCCCTATAGAATAAAATGGAAAAACATTTGTTTTCTGATACATTTGGAATGCATAGTTTTAGTGTTTAATGTGGAATTTTCTGGATGCTTCTTGTAAAATTTTTTTTATTATTAATTTAGATTCATAATGACAGAGCTTGTAATGTCTCCAAACTAAATATGGACATCTAATGCATTTTCTTCTCAGCTTTGGACTTCCTGGCTATGTTATATAAAAATCCATGCACCTCTGGGTTTGGGCAAAAGCTAGACCAAAGTTAGGGAAATGAGCTTTTTTAACATATATTCCCCATTATCACTAGCTTTTTTTTATATTTGCAAATGCATTTAGTGCTGTTTTGTGTTGATGTATAAGCAAAAGCAGTATGTTTATTTAGACAGCTAAGTATTAACTTGAAGCAGAAAGATTTATGTTTGAGATTACTAATGTATTTGAGAACCAGAGTAATACCACTTGAAAATTGTGTTTAAAGACATTGTCCTTTTTTTTTTTTTTTTTTTTAAGAGCAGGGAGTTTGTTTTGTTTTCAGTTTTGTTGACTTCGTTTTCCTCATCCCTGGAAGAATACCTGACGCATAGGGAATGCCCCAGAAACATTTGTAAAATAAGGAAATTTAAATAATCTGAAATCGCCTAATTAATTATTGCTCAAATTGTTAATAGCTCCCAGGCGGCTCGCTCATTTTTAACACTCTGCAGCAGCAGCAGCAGCAGCAGCAGCTCTCCCAGTTTACACCACAGCAGCCCCAGCAGCCCCAGCAGCCTGGGGAGCAGGTATGTCCTTTCTACCTTCCATATGATATGCTTTGTATTGTAGAATTATATCTTTTTTTGGTATATTCCAGGCCTATTTCAAGTGTTTCTAGACTGTTTGAACAAACTTTTCATATGCTGTCCTTTCTTTATTAACAGTAGTAGCTATCAGTTATCAAGGCCTATTTCTAATTCTCACAACAGCCGTACTGAACAGATGATGTCACCTCCATCTTGCATAGTCTGAAATAGATTCAAGTGACAACTTGCTCACAGCCATACAGCGAGTGGCAGAGCAGGGATTCAGGTCCAGGTCTTTCTGCCTCTATAGGCCATGTATTTTTTACCCAGTCATCATCTTTTCTGTTAATAGTATTTTGTTTCTGTTAGAATAGAGAAATTCTTTTTATTGTGAAGCTTAAAACAGAAAATAGACAAAAACAAATATTCTGTATATTGCCAAAGAGAAATTGAATAAGAACTGCAGTAAAGTAGTAAAAGGAACTTTACTTTTAAAATGTTCAGGGTTTTCTAAACATTTGCTACACTTTGGAATGCTTAAAAGTACTGATTCCTGAGTCCCACCTCCAACATTTCCTTTCAGTTCAGTTCAGTCATTCAGTCATGTCCTAACTCTTTGTGAACCCTTGAACCGCAGCTCGCCAGGCCTCCCTGTCCATCACTAACTACCAGAGTCCACCCAAACCCATATTCATTGTGTCAGTGATGCCATCCAACCATCTCATCCTCTATTGTCCCCTTCTCCTCCTGCCCTCAATCTTGCCCAGCATCAGGGTCTTTTCAAATGAGTCAGCTCTACGCATCAGGTGGCCAAAATATTGGAGTTTGAGCTTCAACATCAGTCGCTCTAATGAACACCCAGTACTGATCTCCTTTAGGCTGGACTGGTTGGATCTCCTTGCAGTCCACGGGACTTTCAAGAATCTCCTCCAACCCCACAGTTCAAAAGCATCAATTCTTCGGCACTCAGCTTTCTTTATAGTCCAACTCTCACATCCATACATGACCACTGAAAAAACCATAGCCTTGACTAGACGGACCTTTATTGGCAAAGTAATGTCTCTGCTTTTTAATATGCTGTCTAGGTTGGGTATAACTTTCCTTCCAAGGAGTAAGCATCTTTTAATTTCATGGCTGCAATCACCATCCGAAGTGATTTTGGAGCCCAGAAAAATAAAGTCAGCCACTGTTTCCACAGTTTCCCCATCTATTTGCCATGAGGTGATGGGACCAGATGCCATGATCTTAGTTTTCTGAATGTTGAGCTTTAAGCCAACTTTTTCACTCTCCTCTTTCACTTTCATCAAGAGGCTCTTTAGTTCTTCTTCGCTTTCTGCCATAAGGGTGGTGTCATCTGCATATCTGAGGTTATTGATATTTCTCCGGGCAATCTTGATTCCAGCTTGTGCTTCCTCCAGCCCAGTGTTTCTCATGATGTACTCTGCATATAAGTTAAATAAGCAGGGTGACAATATACAGCCTTGACATACTCCTTTCCCTGTTTGGAACCAGTCTGTTCTTCCATGTCTAGTTCTAACTGTTGTTTCCTGACCTGCATACAGGTTTCTCAACAGGCAGGTCAGGTTTGCTCACTGTTAAATATATGAAATGTTCACCATCAGTCCCTCTGCCACAGATTGCCCGGTCAGGTCTTGGCTGGATAATGCTCATCCTCTATTAGATTTCTCAAGGAGGGCATACTTAAAACTATTTTCTGGACACATGTATATGTATGGCTGAGTCCCTTTGCTGTTCACTTGAAACTATCAACATTGTTCATTGGCAGTACCCCAATACAAAATAAAAAGTTCTTTAAAAAAAAGAGCTAAGTCAAAAGGAGCAAAAAAAAAAAAAAACAAAACTGGTTTTATTAACACATGAAGGATTACTTAGCTCAATAAAAAATTCTTGATTTGTACTTTTCTTTACAAAATTGTGGTAAAATACATGTAATACAAAATTCACCATCCTACCCATTTCTAAGTGTGCACTTTGGTAGTGTTAGATATATTCTTACTGTTGTGCAACTAATCTCCAGAACACTCTCATCTTGCAAAACTAAAACTGTATACCCATTAAGGAATTCCTTATTTCCCCCTCCTCCTAGTAGCCTACTTTTTTTTCTGTGGATTTGACTACTCCAGGCAATTTCATATAGGTGAAATTTTACAGTATTTGTTTGTGACTGACCTATTTCATTTAGCATAATATCCAAAAGGTTCATCCATGTTGTAGTTTATCCATTCATCCATTGATGAACATTTGGGTTGCTTCCACTTTTGATGGAAGTCTGGGGTTTTTTTTGTTTTTTTTTTTAGATGAATTTTGCTTTAGGTGTGAAGTGTTAAGAACTCCTCTCTGGCTTCTCTGCCCACAAGAATTTTTTATACTTTCCATTTAAAGCCTATGATCCGTTTTCAGTTAATTTTGTATAAGGGGTGAGACGTTGGTCCGGGTTCATTTATGGGGGAACTGTTGGCCGTTTGCACCAGCGCCATTTGTTCCAAAAGCCATCCTTCTCAGTTGAATTACTTTTGCACCTTTGTCAGAGGTCATAATAAATCTTACAATCAAAGGGATCCTCTCGTGTTCTTTTTCAAAATTGTTTAGCTATTCTAGATCCTTTGCTTTTCCTTGTAAATTTTAGAATCACCTTGTCTATATCTACAAAAAAACATTGCTGGGATTTTTAAAGGAATTGAGTTTGAACCTATAGGTCATCTTGGGAAGAGTTTACCATGTTTATGTGTTTTCTAGTCCATGAACATGGTATGTCTCTAGGCTAAAATCGGCTAGTTTTCAGCATGCAAGTCCTATATGTGTATTATAGACTTAACCTAAGTTTTGTTTTTGTCCTTTATCCATTGGGGGGGGGCGGGAATTGTTAATGGTACTGTTTTTCATTTTCTACATGTTTATCACTAGTATGCACGATTGGTGTTGAACTTGTGTTCTGTGATCTTACTGACCTCACTTATTCTGGGTTTTTTTTGTAGATTCCTCAGGGATTTTTTTCTTCCCTGTAATAGTCTGCCATTTGCAAATAAGAATGGGTTTTTTTTCCTTTATAATCTATGTCTGTCTGTTTCTTTATCTAATGTGCTCACTAGAAATTGTAGTACTGTGTTGCAAAGAGTTAAGCTTTTAAAAAAATGTTTTGATGACACTTTATAGAAGCAATATAAAAAAAACAAGCAGCCCTATCACAAAATTGGCAGACCTAAATAGATGTATCTCCAAGGAAGATGTACAGATGATCAGCAGGCACATGAAAAGATGCTCTCAACATTGCTAATCAAATCAAATTAGAAATGCAAATCAATACCACAATGAGGTATCACTTTTCATCAGTCAGAATGTTCATCATCAAAAAGTCTACAAATAATAAATGCTGCAGAGGGTGTGGAGAAAAGGGAGCCTTTGTGCACTGTTGGTGGGAATGTAAATGGGTGCAGCCACTTTGCTGTACCCCTGAAACTGACATGGTATTTCAAATCAGCCAAACCTCAAGAAAAGATAGTTCTGATGAAGCTTTCTAGATACCTTAGTAACTATTATGCCACATCAAATAATAAACCAATACAGAATCAGTTCTGAAAATTAGGTTTCGTGCTTTTGAAATACTGTTTTCTTGCTAATTCTTAATACCTTTGAAGGCTTTTCCTTGTTATTCTTTTTATAAGACCTACTCTAATGTTGATTTTTAATATCAGGAAAAAATGCCAATCCTTCCCACCAACCCGAAGTTGTGTTTTCTTTTTGTACGTCTTTTTTTTTTTTTTTTTTTTTCAAATTCAGGGTTCTGAACAAAGTTTGACCAGTCAGGAACAAGCCTTATCTGCTCAACACGCTGCAGTTATTAACCTTGCCGGAGTAGGAAGTTTTATGCATTCACAGGCAGCTGGTTGGTATTTTCCTAACTAAATAATGTTGAATTTATTAAAAGTATCTCTTGGGTCACACCATTGAAACCGTTTCTTTTTTGCAAGCAAAAACAAGGAAAAATTTCAGTTATATTTAATGTGTGAACTGTTGATTGAGACTGAGATTTTTTCATTATTTTGATAAAGTGCTTTGACCTACATATATTAATAGCAGTTGTTTACCTCATGCTAAATTTTGTTAGCAAAATTCTGTACAATTACCCAACTTAGTAGGGTGCTTCCAAGCAGTTGACTCTAGTTTATCAGGGTTATTGAGACTGCACTTCTAGATTGCAGTTTTTTGTCTCATTCTAATAGCTTATAGTGCATGAAATAGGACTTAATGTTCAAGTAGCAAAGCTTCTTTAAGACAACTGTAAAAAAAAAAAATTAGATATACTAAATGACTGCTCATCACTTCTAGTAATAAATGGTGAACCAAAGATTTATCTTTAGTGAAGATTATTTCATCAATTTAAGACAGCAGTTATAAGTTCATATTTAATTAAAATTAGTAAGTCACATGTCTGCGGAAACTGAGATAGTGTGTCAAGACTAATGAGTGAACTTGTGAATATTTTGAATTTTCACTGGACTTACTGTGAATTCAGTACAGTTTCCAGTGTCTGAATTTGGAATAGCTACATAAGGTTCTAATTTAGAGCTGGTGAATTTCCAAATGGAAATTTATTATTAATAAACCTTTACCCTACAAACTATAAATTTCCTAAAATAGCAGTAGTGTAATTTTAATGGAAAGAACTTTGGCTCCAGACTTGCCACTAAATTACCTTGTAGTGAGTCCCTGAGACCACTAAGGCCTGCAGTTTCCTCATCTGTAGAGCTGAACTTAACCCTTGATCCCACTCCTCTCTAAAAGGTTCACCACCTTTGTTGCTAATAGTGTGGTCTGATAGTCATTGTACCGTCTCTTGGCATTTGTCTACCAGTTTTGTCCTCACGGTAGTTTGAGTTTCTCCCACTCCATTTCCTACTTGACTGGTTGTATTTTAAACATGGCATAGTCAGCATTCTGCTAGAAAGCCTTCTCAGGGAATTGGCACAGAGATGCAGGAAGAGAGGGTGCAGTGCTCTGGCCACATGCTCTCCCCTCTTCATGTCCAGGAGTCCTGCAGGCAGTGTTCCCCTCAACTAACAGGATACTGTACTAAATTTATTCTCAAATGTCTGTGATTTGATACTTAAGATTAATCATACTGATACTTTTCTATTTCATTTTCTGTGTTGTCCTTTTCTAACCCTGGTAGCCTTCAAACTTTCTGACTGGCCTGCTTTCCCCTTCTCCTCTCTGTAGTGTTGTCTCAGCTTGGCTCTGCCGAGAACAGACCTGAGCAAAGCCTTCCTCAGCAGAGACTCCAGCTCTCCTCTGCCTTTCAACAGCAGCAGCAACAGATCCAAGTAATCCAGCAACTTCACTCTGCTTACATTTTTAAAGATACTTTGCTCCAAAAGTACCTCACAATACCTTACTTCAGTTTTAATGTTACTGTCTTTTGAGACTATACAGTAATTGGTAAATAATTTAGCAAATTTATTTAATAAAAGTCTGACAACTTTAGCGAGTCAGCTTGGAGCACTGCATATATTTTGTACATTTAAGTCATACTCTCTGCCTAATTTAAAATCTTTCATGAAGTGCTGGTGGCACATTAACATACATTTTTAGATTCCTTTTAAATAGTCCATTGTAAGTGCCAATGGTTAACTTCTTAATACTGTACTGCAGAAAAAGGCAAGTATACCAGTGTTCCTATTTGTAAACTGTCCTGTTTTAGAGAAGTGTTATCCATTCTTAGGAAGTCAGAATAGTGTACTTGACTGTCTTTAATTTGCAGGGTGGTTTTATACTGCTAAACTAGCATACAACACAATGGTAACTGAAGTTGCTGAGTTACTGCAGTATCGACTGGCCAGGCAAAGTAGCAGCTTCTTCTGAAGTTTGAAAAGCCCTGTCTTCAAAGCCCTCAGCAGGCTTCTGTACCACTGGTGCTGTTTGACTGTGCATTGTCTCCATGTGGTATAGTCCCTTTTTGTTACCTTGGTGCTTTCTCCCTTTCAGTTTTGTTCTCATCACTCTCAGGAAAATCATCTTTCCATGCCTACCTACGTTTAACCTAACTAGATTTTTTCCCCTCTGTTTGCAGCAGTTACGATTCTTGCAGCATCAAATGGCTATGGCAGCAGCAGCAGCACAAACAGCTCAGCTACATCATCATCGGCATACAGGCAGCCAGTCAAAAAGTAAAATGAAGAGAGGCACGCCAACCACTCCAAAATTCTGAGTCTTGAATAGTTTTTCTTTTTAAAAACATAAGAGCATTGAATCAAAAGGATTCGGAGTTTCTACTTCATTTTTGTTTTTTAAAAATGTGTCAGTATTTTACATTGCTAGATATACAAACTTTATACAGAAGTTTGATTTTTAAATAAAAACAAATAATTTTTAAATAAAAACAGGGAAATGGTTTAACCATTAGGGTTGGTTTGCCTAAGTCATTGTTTTTTAAAAATGGTTTCACTGTACATAATACAGAAGTGACCTGAGAAATACTAGAAACATCTTTCAAAAAACTGTAGTTTGGTATTTATTTAGTATAAAAGGTTTGTGCACAGTGTAACAAATACAGTTTTTACAAATCTGTTTTGAAAATGTGGTTGCTCATTTGGGTTTCATACTCTTAAATACTTCATCCATCAGTTGTTTTACTTCTCTGTGTCTTGTAACCGCTCGGCTCATACAGTCTTGAAGTTTAGATCCAGTCAGTCCACTTCCACCTGAAAAATTGTGCCAACACTAATTTTAATTACTCTTACATGACCTACATGTCAAGTTATAAAACAAAATTTGAATAGTAGGTTATGTGTTAACAAGACCTCCTGAAGTTTAAGAACCACTGACATAAAAGATGCAAGGCATCTTTTTTTTTTTTTTTGCAAGGCATCTTAAGTAAATTTACATTAGGTAAAATAACAAAACATCCCACATTCCATTTGGCCCTCCCTAATGTAAAGAAGCTCAATCTGCATTTTCAACTACATGTTTAGTACTGAGATGGAAGGAAAGTGCGTGCCTGGTTTGTGAAGACAACAGAGCCTGCCTTCCTCGTCCATTACAACTGTTAAGGTTCCAGTTGCCAGATGTTCCTCCTCTTCGGTAGGATCAACTATAAGCAGAGTGCTATTTTAAAAATCAAAAGTATACATTATCAACCTATGAGACACATTTTATTTTAGAAAAGTAAATTACACTTACTACCTGCATTTTAGCTTAGGAGGGAGCTAGACAGAACCGGTAGAAACCAGAAACGCTAGTAGCAAGCTCCAAGTTCCACTTGTAAGAATCTTTGCCCTTCAGTTAAATACACAACCTTTTGATTAACTTACTCATCAAATACAGCAAAGGAAGTTGCAACTGGATGAGTTCTAATATTCAAATAACTTTTCTTCTTTAAATTAACTTCTGCTAAAGCAGTTTCTTCATTTATAGTAACTTCAGGCAACTGTACTACAAAAAGGCAAATATGTAAAGTCAGTTTCTCACTCCAGTTAAACAGGGCATTCTATGCTTGGTTAATTTACTTTTCCCTCTCTTTAAACTTGTCCAGAAGTATTTTTTTGTTTTTAAACTTTATTTGTATTGGGGTATAGGAAGGCACGGCAACCCTCTCCAGTATTCTTGCCTGGAGAATCCCAGAGGAGACTGGCGGGCTGCAGTCCAAAGGGCCGCACAGAGTCGGACGCGACTGAAGAGACTTGGCACGCACGCATGCATAGCCAATTAAACAGTGTTGGCACAGTTTCAGGTGAACAGGGAAGGGACTCAGCCATACATATATATGTATTCATTGTCCCCCAAACCCCCCCTCCCAGCCAGGCTTCCACATTAACACTGAGCAGAGTTCCATATGCTATACAGGAGCAGAAGTATTAAAAAAACAGAACAATTAAAGCAGATAGGGTGGATACAAACAGTGTTCTTCTTTAATTTAGAAACATGTGGATAGGTTAAATCCTCACAAAAACCTTTAGACAATTTTACCAAAACGAAACACTGGCATATAAGTAGGAATATTCCCTTTTATTAAAGTTGCTTACCATTTTTTAAAGCTGCTAACAAAGCAAAGGTACAAGCATCCAAAATGTTTCCATCATGGTTGAGGCAAATGAGATCACAGTACAAAACCCAAGCAAGCTAAAACAGAGTTGACACAGAAATTAAAGCTTTCTGATGGGTATAATGTGGTATTTGTTTCTACTCACAAACCATGTCCTTAGTTAAACAGTCAACTTTTGAGGCTCAAAGACTTAAAAAAATTTACCTTTATAAAGTAAAAAAGTGAGCAAGTTTGGTAATACCAAAAGCTGACAAGTGAACATCTCCATTTCCCCTCAAGGAAGCTACAGATGTAGGAGGAATTTCCATTCTTACTGCTAAGTTAGCAGATGAGGGAATTGCTTCTAAAAATCCCAAATGAGACTCAAAATGTATTTTACCACAGAAACCTTAATACATGAAATTTTTAGGTCTTACACTGCTTAATAAATCAATATAATCAAACATGAAAAGCTTCTAGGTACTTGTCAATGTAGTTCAAAGTTGTCAAAAAGACTTGAAATTTATAATGTGGATTCACCTTAAACACATGTTTGCTGATCAGATACTATCTGCTGGAAAAAAATTTTTAAATGACTGCATTATTAGCTGAAAAAAGATTACATCAGCTTAAAAGATAAGTCTCTAGCCAGGCAATGAAGTAATCAAAATTTACTGGGGTTTTTTTGTGTGTGAACTACAGTTTATCTAGATAGTTACAGAGTTAAGAGTGATTTTAATTCCATCTAGAGACAAGATATCTGTAAGGCTGCTGTGCTTTTTTAATTTTCCCCACCCCAAAAAACACTTCAGAATTAGAAACTCACAGCTTCTTTACTCCTCTTACCTTTCCTGAAGAGATGCATAAGTCTTCTTTATTAATTATCTGTGAACTTGATTTAAAGATGAAGAGCACAGTAAACAAAAGTTCAAAAACTCTAAAATGAATGACAGACTTTATCATGATAATCTTACTTTTCAATGACATCTGCAATGAATTGGCTGGCCACTTGGGCCTCTTCTCCAGGAGGGCCAGACCGAAATCTCCAGGAACACAGAGGTGATAGATCCACGTTAGGAACTGAAAGAAACACTGCAGCTGTGAACCAAATTTCACCTCTGGTTTAGTTTTAAAGGCTTTATCCACTGCAAAGGCAAGTGGAAAGCATTATATAACACATCAGTTACATTCTTTTCCATTTTTAATAAAAATCTTAGGCTTAGATAAAATTTTCTGACTTTCTCTGCACAAAAATAATACACCACCACACAGCACCCCAAGCATCTATTTAAGACTTCCTTCAATCGTAAATTATTCACAAAAGTTTTTAGGTTTCTTTCAAAGTACCCCAATCTGTAACAGTATGCTGCTGCTAAGTCACTTCAGTCATGTCCGACTCTGTGCAACCCCATAGACGGCAGAACACCCGGCTCCCCTGTCCCTGGGATTCTATAGCCTCACTAATCATACCAGCTATTCTGCATTTTTAAAATGTTGGTTCCCACCATAAAGGAAAGATGGTCCAAGTTATGAAAAAGAAAATCATAGTGGTATAAAGGAAGTGTTTATGGAAATAGAAAAGTTTGCAATTACAGCCCTTTGCCTGAGTCAAAGGTTGATGGTTGATGACACCTGTATAAACAAAACTGATCATACAAGTCTGCCAAAGGTATTTACAAAATTCTGTACCTTGCTATTATACCATCTTCTTTTAACAATTTCAATATTTAACAGGATTATTTAACTTAATTTACACTATCGTCTAACATACATACATTAAACTTTTCAGGACTGTCTGAAGCTTCTGAATAATTTTCAATTCACCCACTAAGATTTAACTATAATAATAATACTAAAATATTTATTAAAATCACAAAACTGTTTAACTTACCAACATATCCTTTATCAGGGGCATCTGTTGGTGGTGCTCCAAATTCCTAGAAGCATACAAACATTTCCTATGAAAGAAGCTACTAGAAAATTGTGAGGACAGCAGTCAGTCAAGGAAGGCTCTACCAAAGACCATCTTAGCTAGTTAGCAACATCATGAGCATCCACTGTGCCTGGGAAGGTGGGTCAGGGGCTCTGGGGACATCAGCACCACTCACACTAGCTCTGCCAAGGCAAGAAGGCGGTATGGCAAAGCTGACTAGTGCACCTCAGCAAAATGACCGGAGGATCTTAGAGTTCTGCCCCACCTCTCTTCTTACTCAGTAGCCAAGAATCTGAATTTAAACCCCAACCTCAAACAAGACAGTGTTAAGCCCCTAACCTGGCAAGTCTCGTGAAATGTCACCCCACCTTTACTGAGGAAGAATCTCAACTTACGCCGAGTAACTCAGAGTTCAGAGTCAAAGCAGAGACTTTGAAGTCAGTTTATACTGAAGTATTTGGAGAGAAAAATTTCCAGTGACTCTTCAGAGGATTAACTGGGCAATTCTGAAAGCACCCAATGTATGGTGCTAGAAACAGCAAGTACTCAGTAAATGGTAGCTACTACTCCCTCAAGCTTTTGAGCAATTTTCTACACATTTGCACAGATTAAATGCCATCGATGGATAAAAATACGTCACCAAAGACCTCTTAAAATTTCTCAAATTACAACCAAATTCTTTAAAAATTAAAGGCAGATGAGGAGGATTTTTTTTAAAAAATCATTTCAGCACATTTGCAAATGTTCACAAACTGTAATTAAGAGTCATTAAACTTGGGTTGTATTATCTAAAACTCAAAGGTGAAAACTTGGGAAATGAAAACAAACACTAAAACACCTGACTGCCTAGTCAACAGCAGAACTACAGATGTATATAACAATCTAGTAAGTATATGAGGCTATCTGAGTAACTCAAATCTTGGTAGTAAGTATATTAAACCTACCGCTTTAATTCCACAAATTACTGTCGTATTTCCCAGCTTCACTAAAGAAGAACCATCTGCGGTACCAATCGAACCTGAAAAGTATTTTTAAAAAATGAAAAAGTTTTCTTCTTTTATGTATGATACTTATCTTTAAATATCTAAGTTGTCTATGAAAATTTACTCCTTACTTGAGTCTTTGTAAAATTACAGTTGACCCTTGAACAACATGGGCTTGAACTATACCGGTCCACTTATACAAAGATTATTTTCACTAAATACTTCCACAGTACTGCATGATCCACAGTTGGTTGAATCTAAGGATGGTGAACCTTGGATATGGAGTGCCAATCCATAATGGTAAGATTATACTTGGATTTTCAACTCTGTGAAGGTCAGTGCTCCTAACCCCCTCATTGTTCAAGGGTCAACCAAATTGTTTTAGGAATTATTCATTTTCTTGATTTTGAGTGAATCATTTGATGTTCAATCACAGGGCTGTTATGAAAATCTCTTGACAGAAAAATCACTGTAATCCCTTAGACATGGTAGAATTTGTCTGAAATACTGTTTAAATGGCACAGAGTCTAAAACTTGGGAATGTCATATTGGTAAAATTGGAAAATTCCATGTTTGCAACAGAAGATTTAATAAGTGTAAGATATAGAAGGAAACAAAATCTTACAAGTTTTGAAGGAAGAAAAGGGGAAAACACTTCAGAGTTACTTTAAATTTAACATGAACATAAAAACTGAAAGGACGTGCTTAGTTGTGCAGTCGTGTGCGACTCTTTGTGACCCCATGGACTGTAGCACACCAGGTTCCTCTGTCTATGGAATTTTTCAGGCAAGAATACTGCAGTGGGTTGCCATTTCCTTCTCCTGGGGATCTTCCCCACCCAAGGACTGAACCTGTCTCCTGCACTGCAGGTAGATTCTTTATGCACTGAGACATTTGGGAAGCCCACTACTGAGAGGAGACTGAGTTGGAAAAAAAAACTCTACGAATAAAAGCTTGCCATTAAAAAAAATACTCTCACCTACGTTGACAGTTGTGGTTCTGAATTCACCAAGTTCTCTTCCATCAGGACGGCAATTCTCTTTCTAAATAAATATATGAAAGCAGATTACAGCTACATGTGTATCTCACACAGGCCAGGGAAAACACACTGAACCTATTAACTCAAATAAATTAATCTGCATTACTTTAAAACTCTCTTTTAAAAACTGAAGTATAATTGGCACATTAAGTATATAACATAATGATTAATACTTTTATTTGTGAAAAAAGCATATGATACCATTATCAAAAGGCATCACATAATCACCTTTACTTACCAGAAATCTCCTGTAATACTCCAGAGGTTCCACAGTTCTGAAAGACATGTGAAATATATGAGATAAATTATAAATCAATATAAATCCAGAACCGCAACAATCTTAATAGTAGGGCGATGGAGCAGAAATCTTCAAAATTTGTAACTAAGTTTCTGTTATTAATTCTAAAGTTTATGTTGCCACATGTTGCTAATTATAAAAAGTAGCTACCTTTGCAATAACAATCACACTCAAAGACTGACTTTACTATAAGGATGGAGACCAAAACCCTAGGCCTCTTTAAAAAGAGAATTAATTCAGGTGTGCATCACTCACACTTTGAAGCAGGAATACTTCGTTAGTAGGAGAAAACAAAACAAAACAATCACGTATTTATTTCCACTACCCGTGACTTAAATTTAGCATATTCTTCGATTACGAGCATAGGCAATAAACCACTATAATGTTAGCTGTACCTGATGGCAACCCACTCCAGTACTCTTGCCTGGAAAATCCCATGGAGCCTGGATAGGCTGCAGTCCATGGGGTCGCTACGACTGAGCGACTTCACTTTCTCTTTTCACCTTCATGCATTGGAGAAGGAAATGGCAACCCACTCCAGTGTTCTTGCCTGGAGAATCCCAGGGACTGGGGAGCCTGGTGGGCTGCCGTCTATGGGTCGCAGAGTCAGACACGACTGAAGCGACTTAGCAGCAGCAGCAGCAGCGACTTTAACAACCACAGATTAAATGCTTTCGTTTTTACTTTATAGTTGCCTAAGGTAAGTGTAAGATGTATGGTTACTTCGAAATTTCAGGAGTTACTTTAGACTTCCCACCAGGCCTTATCTAATAAAGTTAATTTCAAAACAGATATTTCACTGTGTCAAAAACCCAGAGTTTATACAAATATATAATCGTTTCAATATAATTGGTTTCCTTCGGAATCCTATTTATTCCATCCATTTAAAACTGGACTCAGAACGAAAAGCTATAGTCTTCCCCATAGAGTTGCCCCCAAAACGCTTAAGGAAAACCTTTCTAACGAGGCAGAATGCTTTTACACATAAACTATGGGGCAGGGAAAGCAGGGAGCCCTAAGGTTTTGACGCAACGCTTTTTACAAGATTACAAGTGTCTCTCCTGGGCAGCAAAGTCCACTAGACACCAAGCCTCAGCGCTCGCGGCGGGTACCGGCTCAACACAGTACTTCCTATCGCCCGCGTCACTGGGGAGAAGACGCGCCCTTTCCTTTCACTACAACCACCTTCAGTTCTCCCGCCCAACGTCTGCGTCTGCGGTGGAAACAAATAGGAACCAGGTAGGGTGGCCTCCCGATGAGAAAACCCCAAGGGTAGAGTAGCCGCCAGCCGCTAGGCTACAAACTCGCGCCCGCCAGCCTACCGCACTCACTTGAACCCAGCCGCCATCTTCCGCCCGCGGATCTGCGCCTGCGCCTGCGCCCGCGCCTGCGCCTGCGTATCACCGCCCCTCCGGCCCGCGCTGCCGTTTCGTTTCCGCACCTTCAACACTGATTCTGCTACCTGACATCTTGAAGGCACGGCTGTGTGGCCCAGAGTAGAGGGAGAAGAGGTGTGGGTGATTTCCCGCACGGCTTCGGTTCGACCACCCCTAGCCAAACGCTCCTTTTGGTTTTCTTGACCTTGACGTTTTTTGGCGAATCGGCTTTTACGGAAGTTACGAGTGTGTTTAGAAACAGTTTGATAGTTCAAGCGTGCGTGCTTATTTATGTAGAATCAGTCTTTTCGCGACCCGTTGGACTATAACCCACCACCCTCTTCTGTCCCTGGAATTCTCCAGGCAAGAATACTGGAGTGGGAGGATCTTCCCAAACCAGGAGTGGAACCTATGTCTCCTGTGTCTTCTGCATTGAAGGCGGATTCTTTATCGCTGAACCACCAGGGAAGCCACCATTCAAGAGTTTCAGAGAAAACCGACCTTATAGCAAAGAATCAAGTGTTGAGCGTGGAGCATTATTCCAACGTTTCAGCGTCCTTTCCCCCTCCCCCTTAGGCTGAGCCCTGGGCTCGCCTTCTTCCAGGTAAAAGCCTCCTGCTCGAGCACCGAAAATTTAAAACTTCTGTGCGCTCGTTATCCACATCAGGTTACATTACGCAGCTGCCAAGAGTGGGCTCCAAAGAAACAACTTTCGTTGTAGACTGTGTCGTGGCTCAAAACCTCCACTTCACCTCCTTCCTAGAAAGGGTTGCCGATAAAACGCAGGGCACCCGATTCAATTTGAATGTCAGGTGAACAAAGAGTACACGCAAAATAGTTCATGTTATTAGTTGTTACCGAGAGCTGGGGGAGAACTGGGAAAGTTTTAGAAATAGACAGTAGTGATGGTTACAGGAAGCTGTGAATGCAAGCAATGTCACTGTAGTAGACACACAAACTGGTTAAAATGGGAAATTTTATCAGGTTTTCAAAATTAATATAACGAAAAGCTCTTAAATGGGTGAACTTTATGAGTGTGTGTTATATTTTAATAATGCTGTTAAAAACCGATCCGTTGCTATCTGAAATTCAATTTAAGTGGACATCCGTTTATTTCTCCTTGCTGATTCTGACAACCCTGCTACGTTAGAACAGAGCCGCTCTCACACATAGTCATGCGGTGGCGCTGTGGGCAGCGCGGGTCCCCGGGCGTGACCGGGTCTGGCCGCGAGGCGGCGCTGTGGGCGGCGGGCGCCCGGCTGGCGTGGCCTCTCTGCGGGCAGGAGGCGGGGCTGCGCGGCCGCACTTCCGCGTGTGTGTAGGCGCGGGATAGGGCGGCTGGCGGCCCGGCATGGAGGATGGTTCCGCTCTTGCTGCAGCTGGCGGTGCTCGGCGGGGCGCTGGCCGCCGCAGCCCTGATTCTGGTGAGGAGAGGGGTTGGGGACAGACGCGGGCCTGGGCTCACTGCGCTCCTGGAGGCGCGGCCCCCCAGGCTTCCTCTCCTCGGAGCTGTCCGCTCTTTGACGTGTCCTTGCACTACGCTTCCCCAAGCCCAGACCCCAGAATTTCACACCGCCTTTCCTTCCGTTCTTTGTTTTTATTTTGGAGCTGCTTCTTTCTGCGTGCCCAGAACCTAGCACTTGGCGTTCACTGGGACATGCCCACCCCGTCTTCTCTTAGTCCCCTGGTTCCCGGACCTTCTGCCCATCCGCCCTCTCAGCCCTGACCTCTCCAAGATTCCCTCCCGGGTCTGCAGTTCTGGCCCTACCCGGGGAGGTCCTCAGCCGCCCCCCCGCCCCCCGCCCCCAGAAAGTGTGTGCTTTCTAGACACTCTCTTTCCTGGTATAGTTAAGCAGATGGAAAGTGGTGACAGCACTGACCAAAGCCAGCTAGTAGCAGAGTAGATAAGTCAGCGGATCAGGAAGACCAAGCTGGTCAAGGCCTGGTGTTACCGTATGGTTGGGGGTCGTTATGTCCCAGAATTCAGCCCCCTAAGTTTACTGCATCTGCACGAAACAGTACAGTGGTATTCAAACTCAGATTTCCTTTGCCACTACTGTGGAAACACAGAGACATTTTAACACTTCCTGATCCGTAAATAGTAGAAAATTTGCCAAGTGAACTTTCTCCCATATAATTTGGGATGGGCCCGCCATCTAGTTAGTAAAGAGAGAGATTTCCGCTTCCTTGACGTTGAGGTTAGCAGCCTAGGTAGCATTGCCAGGGAGGCCACTGGGCCAGCTTCTCAGAATTTACAGCTTAGAGGTAGTTTACATGGAGAACAAGCAATGTATCCTGACATGTTTAGTGTTTGTGTATGCCTGAAATAAGAGGTCTGTTTTTCCATAAGTAGTATATGGAGATTTGTTTCTTTTTTTCGGGTTTTTGGTGGGGCAGAATTTGACAGAATACTAGGTTGAATCTGTCTTGCGTTGACTCTGTTAAATGTGCATCTTATGAGGTTGTACTAGAAGTATTTGATTGTAGTAGCTCAAAGTGGTTATAAGAGCTTCCACTTATTGAATACTTCCAATATGTTGTATATTGTATTCAGCTTTCAACCGGGATTATCTGTTTTGAGCTTTGAAACAGCAACTGACAGAAATGTTATCATTAGTTTCCCTTGACTGGTGAGGAAGCTGATGTTGGAAAGATGGACTCATGGAGGCAAATGTCACCCAACTAGTGGAACTTTATTGTTTTAGATGCCAGAGCAGGAAATCATTACAGAACACATCAGTCTTGTTTCATGTATATCTCCCCACTGTCTCTTTACCTGCTTCCTTTCTGAATTAATTTTGAAGCAAATCTAAGACATAACATTTTATCTGTAAATGTTAAGCATTTTTCTCCAAAGTTAGGACCGCCTTCTAAAAACATAGTCACAATAAGGTTATCGCAGTTTTAAGTTTAACATTGTTAAGTGATTTAAAATACACTGTTGCTCAAATGCCTCGTGTCTGTATTAGTATAACTGGTTTGTTTCATTCAGTATCCACACACACTTAGCACTAGATCAGTTTGTCTCAAGTCTCTTAAACAATTTCTCCTCTTTTTTTTTTTTCTTGTCTTTCATAAAGAGTCATTTGTGCTGTAGAATTTCTCACAATCTGGATTTTACTAACTGCATCCCTTAGGTGACTTTTAACGTTTTGCTCTGTCCCCTGAATTTCCTGTGAACTGCTGGTTACAGCTGCAGTTTGATGAAATACATATTTGAGTTTTAATCAAGTGAAGTATGTGAATGGTGCTGATTACTCCTTTTGTGTTGTATCAGGAAGCTTGTGATGTCTGATTTTCTTTGGTGTCTAGTGGGATTCACAGCTTCAGGAGTGACCAGCTTGACCCACCAATCATAAAGTTTGTCATTAACCTAATGATTTTAGCAGCCATTGATGATCACTGCCTAAATCCACTGTTTCACTGGGGGTTGCAGAGTGGAATATTGTAATTGTGTCGTTCCTTCATGTGTTACCTAGAATTTTGTAATGAAAAAAATTTACCCTCAGCTATTCAGTTACTCTGAAATACCTTTCATATTTTAAAAGGTAACGATAAAAGGGAAGTTTTCAAAATAATGAGATGGTTCCCTGGCTTCTTACAAAGGTGATTGATTAATTTTTTATTTTCAGTATCATTAGGAACCCATGATATAAAGTTTTTCCTGTGTTTTGATACACTGCACTAGTTATTCTTTTTGAAGCTTCAATTCTTCCCTGTCAAGTCGGCTACCTTGTCATTATGTTTGTAGCTTCCTAGCCTGACTGCTACTCCACTTGAATCAGCCATTCCTCCTAGGAGCACTGGTTATGAAATTGAATTTAATAACCACAATCTGGATGCTTGGAGTACAGAGCAGGAACTCTTTAACCACTAGGTGGCACACTGCCTTCATACTCATGCTAATCAGAAGCTCATTCAATTTCAGTATGTTTCCAGTGGGATGTCACAAATGGTCACTGAATTACAAATGAATTGCATTCCAAAAGTTGGTAGGTTGATTGTTTGAAAGCAGAAAGTATATCAGTAGAAACAGTGCTACAAATGATGGTTATTTCCAAAGCCAGCTCCCTAGTGAATCTGGAAGAGGACTAATGTTAGCAGTTCATAGTGCCTACAGGCTCCAAATTTGATACTTGACTCCAAAAAATTCTGTGTTCTGAACTGAAATCTGGGATGAGTATATATTCTTCAGCTTTTTTGTCCTATCCTGGGGCCAGCAAATGCTTTCCTTGCAACCTGGATCGGCCTGGTCCTGAGGGAGAGGCCTGGCCTCGCCCACAGGCTCTCCCTGCAATGTGCCCTTTGTCACAGGCTCTGGGGGGAGTGGGGCAAGGGGCTGGGGCTTCAGGGCATCTCGGGGTAGGTGGCGCGACCGACTGTTCCTTCTTAGACCTGAGGTGACAGAGGCCTGGGGCATGACAGGACACAGAGAGCCTCCTGGGGCATTAGTACCTTAGTAAGGGAAAAAAGGACAATAAGAATCTGTTTACAAGAAGAGGTGAATGGTTGGAGTTTTGAAGTCACCTCCAGACCATTGTTAATGGACTAAAAACAGTAAATATTTCATCTCATGAGGGAAGCATCATGTAAATGATGTATTCTAATGTAAGTGTTAGTCACTTAGTCATGTCCAACTGTTTGCGACCCCTTGGACTGTAGCCCACCAGGCTCCTCTGTCCGTGGAATTCTCCAGGCAGGAATACTGGAGTGGGTAGCCATTCCCTCCTCCAGGGGATCTTCCTGACCCAGGGATCAAACTCAGGTCTCATGCATTGCAGGCAGATTCTTTACCATCCAAGCCACCAGGGAAGCCCCTATTCTAATATAACACATGTTTTAAAAGGTCACCACAATATAATCTCTTATTAACATATCTGCTTTTAGATTTCCTTTGTTGCATTTATAACTGCTACAGAGATGCCACACCTTCATCGACATGAAGAAGAGAAGTTCTTTTTAAATGCTAGGGGCCAGAGGGAAGCCTTACCCAGCATTCAGGACTCACCTACCAAACAGCTTTCTGTGGTCGTGCCTTCATACAATGAAGAAAAACGGTGTAAGCCCTTCTTGATTCTTCTGGTAAGGGGTAGTTTGGAAAGAAAAGGAAATTGAAAGTTTGGACTTGGCCAGAGCCTTGATACTTGTGGGCTGTAGAGAGTGTGCACAGTTGGTAGTTGTGGATTAGACGAGAAAGGAGCATCCAGTCTGATGCTGAAGTGTTGAAGTGATGAGTGAGAGGGGAGCAGAAGACAGATGTTCCAGATAGAAATAGCCTCTGGGGGGACAGCCCGGGAGGGCTTAGTCAGTCAGGCTTCTTTGATACATAAACTGTGTGCTGGGACAAAGTGATTTTCAAAAGCAATTTATATATGTGTGTGTGTGTGTATATATATATATATATATATATTTTTTTTTTTTTCCTTTAAGTGCCTGTAATGATGGATGAAGCTCTGGGTTATCTGGAGGACAGACAGGTATCATGTTTTCTCTGACGTCTAATTAATACTAGAACGGGTCACCAAGCTGTGGACCCCAGGCTGGATCCTTGATGAGAGGCGGTGCTGACCATTCTCGAGCTGTCACGGAGCTGACCTCCGTGCTCAGCCTGTTGCCTTGGCCTTTTTACACATTATACACTTTGTACAGTTACATTCTGTAAGTGTGCTTTGTACACTTAAACTTGTATTCATATTAACAGTAAAAAAAACACTAGTTTTTTTAGCTTCCTTACAACTTGATTAGAATTCTTGATGTTGGCCATGCCGAATCGTGGTATCTTATTTTTGCTTTTTGCAGAAACAAGATCCTGCCTTCACTTATGAGGTGATAGTAGTTGACGATGGCAGCAAAGACCAGACTTCAAAGGTAAGTCTGCTGAGGAGCCAGCAGAGAGAAAGAGGTTGAAGACTCAGAGGAGGACAAGTCCGGTGGGATTCTCTGCTGAGAGTGAGGAATTCGAGGAGAAGATTTGGGGGAAATGCTGTGGGATACAGACATCTTCTCTGGGGAGTAAGGTTGGCTGCTGACAAGTAAATAGGTCTTTAAGCAGTTCTGGGAACCCAGTCACAAATGTGTCACAGTCAAGGAGCATGTGGCTTTTATTTTTATTTTCTCTAGAAGCTCTGTAGCTTAGGCAAAGGAGTCAAGAAAAAAGAGGCAGCCACTGCCTGTTCTGCTGTCTCCTCTGCAGGAGAGAGAGCTGTGACCTCAGCAGTCAGGCTCGGATCTCGGCCCCAGGAATTCAGCAGCTTCTCTAGGCTACCAGAAGCTGCGTGGGCGCCACTGGTCACAAAGAGACAGCAACTAGAGTAGCAAGTGTTTAAGCCAAAATCAGAAACCCAGTTTCTGTAACTGTCTTGGAATTCAAATTTGTTTTAATTCTGACTTTTATGTAATTTGACAGGTAGCTTTTAAATACTGCCAGAAATATGGAAGTGACAAAGTACGAGTGATAACGCTAGTGAAGAACCGTGGAAAGGGTGGAGCAATTAGGATGGTAATAACCTAATTTCAACATTTTTATCTGAAATATGAAGGTATTTTGAATAGCCTCTTTTGTCGATTACAGCACATGTATATTCTGCAATGAGCTTGTTAAATACCAGGCTTTCAAATAAGGCTGGTAAATTGCTTTTAATAATAACTTCTTACATATATGTATATATAATGTGATCATAATAAAAATAAAATATCATGTCATAGCTATGATGTGCTGGGTGATTCAGAAAGAAGTATTCATCTTGATCTAGCAGTGAGGTGGAGGCCCTCGGTGGTAGAATCGGGAGGGTCGCCCACATTCGAGAAACCCCCTTATCATGTATCACTACTCCTTTATTATTATTTTTTAATCTTAAGCTTATAGCTATAGATTTTGTACCTTGTAATGTTTCTCTTTTCGAAAACTTAGTATGTGATGTTCAGATGTTAAATACAACTTTTTTATTTCTTCTTTTTCACCCATATTCTAATGAATATGATAAAAAAAGACATCACATTTACTAATAAGTGGCTTAATCGTATAGAATAGATGATCAAATTTCTGTCTAGATTTGTATGTGCTGTGCTGTGCTTAGTCACTCAGTCGTGTCCCAACTCTGCAGTCCCATGGACTGTAGCCCACCAGCCTCCTCTGTCCATGGAATTCTTCAGGCAAGAATACTGGAGTGGGTTGCTGTGCCCTCCTCCAGAGGATCGTCCCAACCCAGGGATCAAACCGGGATCTCCTGCATTGCAGGCGATTCTTCACCAGTTGAGCTACCGAGGAAGCCCCCTAGATTTGTATATGTGTATTTTATCTATAGTCACACTGTTAAGTGACAGTGTATTCCCACTGAAGAAACAAGGTATTCACTCAAATGCACAGTGAAATTAAGAGCTGATGCATAGTTTCTGTGTGAAGTATGCACTGGTAGGGCCATATTCTGCCCAAATATTGACCAATTCAAAATTTAGTGGCATAAGTTTGCTAAGTGTCAGATGCCTAAAATAATATTTGAATATATCCACACTCCCTAAATTTTAGTGGCATTCTACATTTCTTTACTCAACAGTTAATTTTAAATATTTTAGATCTCATCGTAAAAAATACCAAAGCTCTCTCATGTTATGATGCATTTCACCGCAAAGCTGTATTATATTTGTTCAATCTCTCCATAAATATCTTCTCCATATATTCCTCTAAGGAGCCCCTGGTCCCTGTTAAGTGCCATTGTACTTAAATAATACAGATATTATATTTATAGTAGGTATTTTACATTTTTATTCTTACTGATGCAGCATATCTTTATCCAAATCTATTTTCTCATCTCGATATTTTCCAAGGTATTAGTAGTATGACCTCACAGTTTTTAAAATAATGAAGTAGACACTGGCTACTTCTAGAATGATCTTTTCAATTGTTTTCAGGGAATTTTGGCCTCCTTCTGCCATGTCATACCTAATATTTCTTTCTTGGATATTTTAAGTAAAGCAGAACAAATTGCTATGTCAATGAATTTAACTTTGATTTTAAGCAACTTTCTTTTAATTGAAATTTTGACATACAGGGTGTATTCAGTTCTCGAGGGAAAAAGATCCTTATGGCAGATGCTGACGGAGCCACAAAGTTTCCAGATATTGAGAAATTAGAAAAAGGACTGAATGATCTACAGCCTTGGCCAGTGAGTATAAGAGTATAGTTTAAATGATATTCAGTAAAGAACAGAGGGAACCTAAAGTAAAATCAAAATGGTGTTTTTAAGTTAAACAGTTGGGGAATTTTTTTTTTTTGTATGAAATTCCTATATGCAGTCCCACAAAAGTGTTAATTACTAACATTCACTGATTTTCTGAGATTCACTTCACAATTACTTGTTTAATATTCTGTCCATCTCTCTCAATTTTAAATTGCTTTACTCCCACCAGAGTTTTAATATTTATCATGAATATTCAGCTAAGTCTTTTATGTAAAAGCACAGACTGACACTTCTGGGTGGAGATGTGAAATGGAGCTGGACCACAGAATCTTGTTTTTACGAAACAAAATACAAGCAACAACCACTTGAAAAAGGTTACGTGTCTGTTTGTGCCACACCTTCAGAAAGTGGAGGTTGACTTTTCACTCCGCATGATGCATCTGAGATCCATCCCAGTTGCTGTGTATATCAGTGATTTATGCCTTTTAACTGCTAAGTGGTATTCCATTGTGTGGCTGTACCACAGCTTGTTTATCCATTCAACTGTTGGAGGACATTTGGGCAGCTTTCCAGCATTTGGCAATTATGAATAAAGGCAGTATCAACATTTGTTTTAAAAGAAAAAAAAAAGTAAAGGTTGAGGAAAGAAAGAAAATCCTGGTGCCATTCCTAGCCTTTAAAAGCTATTTAGAGAAAGAAGATAACTTGACCGTATTCTGAGCTTTTTACCAAATACTTCTGATCTAGAAAGATTCAGACTTTGAGGATGAGTTAGTGCCTATGGACAGCATTCACTGACACACAGTATCCCAGGATTTAGCAGAAGTCACTAGGGCTCCCCATTGTCAGGTTTTCAAACTGGGTGTGGATCCATTCTTCAGAGCCGTGCACCCTTATACGGGAATGACAAAAATCTCACAACAGCATGGAACCCAGGTAACCCAACGAAGCTGCATAGAACTTTATCAGTTTTCCATGTGTCTGCTCGACTTTGGCCTGTCAGTAGTTATTTTGGTTTTTAAATAGCAGATTTCTTTTTCTTATCATCCTGGTCATTTTCTACCAAAGTTGGTGAGGATCCAGTCACAACATGACTCCATTACCTCATAGATACTGCCAATTGAACCTTGACTCCCATCCTTATACTGGTACAGGTGTTACCTCTGTTTCTGTATTTCTTTTGCTTTGTTAGGAAATGGAAGTGTGGCTCTGAATTTATTACACACCAGCATGTTCAATTTCAGTTTCTCAGGATACAGACTCTTGTTCTGTCTTTAATGTAATTGGTACTCCCTTTTCAATTCATTTGAGCCACAAAGCCCATAAGCATGCCTCACATGTATCTCCTTAAACCCTAATGAAGACTGACTAGAATAGTTCTGAAAATAATGAAGCAGGAACATGAATTTCAAAGTAGTGGAGTTCTCTAATGAATACACCACTGACTCACTAGATGGCAGAAGATAACTTAAATGTCTTTTACAGCATTGGTTTGACAGGATCACCAGCATGTTCTTCAGTGGCTTCCACTGTTCTCTTTCTTCTTGGCTGGTTTTATTTTTAATTGCAACAATAAGAAATCTGCTGCTCCAGCTGACCCTTGAACAACAAACGGGGTGTAGGAGTGCCTACACCCCACCTCCCTCCACCTGCCTGGGTCAGCTCTGGGTTGTTCAAGGGTCAGCTGTACTTCTTTCTTGTGTCTCTTCTTAGAGTAACCAGGTCACGTATCCTAGTCTAATTATTCTTACCTGGTGAACTTTAAAAAGTTTCCTGCAGTCCCTTCTCTGAAGATGATTATCCTTTTAAGGTTGTGAACTAAATGTGTATAATTCAAGTAGAGCTTTATATGACAAACACATGAAATAGGGATCTATAGTTCCAAGTATTTTATCTTTTTTTTTTAATGTAAAGCTTTTCTCCCAACTTTTCAGTTTCCTAACCTGTAGTATCCTACCTCAATAAAAATGTTTGATTTTATAAAATAATTTTTTGAGCAAAGTACATGATGATCACTTGTTTAGTAGTTTAACTATTCGAAATAGAATCAACTGGGACTAGCACGCAGGGAGTGATTTCTTAAGCCAGTTTTTTGGGTTTTTTCCCCCTAGACTGTGGTAAATAGTACTTGAAAAAGGAGAGCAAAAGTGAAAAAACACACAAGGAAATAACAAAATGTTAGCAGTGGCTGCTTTTAGGTGGCGAGATTATGCATGAGTTTTTATAATAACTTTTTTTCCGTATGCATGTAAATTTACATACTTAACCAATTTCTTTACAGTGAACACTTTTTTAAAATTTATTCTGATTAATGGTTCAAAGTTCAAATAGTATAAGAAGGTATGCAGTGAACCTAGCTCTGCATTGCTCAGTCACCCAGTCGCTCTCAGAAGTTAGTGTTATCTATTTCTGAATATCCACATAGAAGATGCATATATATTCTTTATTTTTTAAATACACACTATGCATTGTTCCTGTTGTTTGCATTTCACAGCATATCTGGGAGATTGAGCCTTCTGTGTACATCAGAATCCTTCCTTATTTCACAGGTCCATAGCCAGTCCCTTTGGATGGACAGGTTGCTTCTTCAAACAGTACTGAAGTGATCAATCTTATATAGATGTCATTTTACACATACGCAAGTTTATTATGGGAAGAATCCCTAGCTGTAAAATTGCTGGGTCAAATTGTGTATATGTTTGTAATTGGGATAACAGTTTTCAAACTGCTGTCTATATAGAATGTGTGTGTACAATATGGTAAAAAAAAATCAATAGATTTTATTTACATTGCTCTTGGGATAAGCATGATTGAGGTAGGAATCTCTTCAGTGATTTAAAATGTATTTCCACTTCCTATTTTTGTGAACTTGTGTTTATAACCTTCATCTCTTTCCAAATCAGTTGTTGAGTACTTTTCTTAATAATTTGTAGGAGCACTTATAATACATTTTGGAAATTAGCCTTTTGTCTGTAATATAAATTATTGCTGTATTTTGCCCCAGTTTATTTGTTTTTTAATTTTTAATGTGGTTGGATTTTTCTTGTTTTGCCATACAACAGTTTTTAAAAGTTTCTTGTCAAGTTGATGAATTTTTCTGGGGTTTGTGTATTTGTGCCTTTCTTGGGATCATTTAAAATATTATTTCTGATAACTTCATTCTTAAATCTTCAGTGTTATCTGGAGTACGTTCTAGTCAGTAACTGGTTCAGATCCAATTTAATTTGGCTTCTAAATGGCTACCAAGGTGCCCCACAGCATCTTTTTCCCACAGATTTGAACATGTTTGTCTTTACCATACTCTTAAGTACCCATGCGTTTTGTGTGTGTGCTTCTGGCCTTTCCCTTCTGATCCGTAGGTTCATCTGTTTACATTCTGCTACCTTAGTTTCTCGGGCTTCCCTGGTAGCTCAGCTGATAAAGAATCGGCTTGCAATGCAGGAGACCCTGGTTGATTCCTGGGTCAGGATGTTCCCCTGGAGAAGGGAGAAGCTACCCACTCCAGTATTCTTGGGCTTCCTGGTGGCTCAGATGGTAAAGAATCTGCCTGCAATGCAGGGAAACCTGGGTTCAGTCCCTGGGTTGGAAAGATCCCCTGGAGGAGGGCATGGCAACCCACTCCAGTACTCCTGCCTAGAGAACCCCATGGACAGAGGAGCCTGGCGGGCTGCAGTCCACGGGGTCGCAGAGTCGGACACGACCAAGTGACTAAGCACAGCATAGCGCCTTAGTTTCTCCAGCTTCCCTGGTGACCCAGTGGTAAAGAATTCCCCTGCAGTGCATAAGACATGGGTTCAATCCCTGGGTTGGGAAGATCCCCTGGAGAAGGAAATGGCAGCCCACTCCAGTACTCTTCCTGGGAAATCCCAGGGACAGAGGGACCTGGGGGACTACAGTCCATGGGGTTGCAGAGAGTCAGACACACTTGGCGACTAAACAACAACTTTAGTTTTAATTACTTTTAGCTTTATGATGTAACTTTAAATCATCTGGCACTAGTCCTTTCTCTTAGAATATTCTTGGCTCTTCTTGGTTTTTTATTTTTCAATATTAACTTCCAAATTAGCTTATTGAATCAGTGAAAAAATATTTTTATGTTTCTATTGTTATGGCTTTAAATTTAAAGGTTAGCTTAGGGAGTTGCCTTTTTAATGCTGTAATCACATCCTCTCATCCATGGTCATGGTCTTTCCTCTGTGATTGGATATTTTTCCTTCCTTTGGTTGCATTTGTATGTTTCCTTTATTTAGATCTTGCTATATTTCTTGTAAAGCTTATAAATTTTTCCTTTTTATTCATATTATTAATATTTTTTTGCTTCCATTATGATTATCTGATCATTGTATCTACATATAAGATTAAAATATTATATATATATTTATTTTGTGCCCACTCATCTTTTACATTCTCTTATTTGTAATCAGTTTTCAGTTGATATTCTTGGGTTTTCCATAATGCAGTGATTACATATAAAATCACATCTACAGATAACCCTTTTCTTTCTAATACTACTAATTTTTCTTATAATTATATTGACAAAGTATTTTCAGTTAGAAAAATCACTTGAATATATGAATCCTGAAATAATCCATGCCTCTTATATTTAGCAGGGAAAACTGTCATCTCAGTACATACAATTAGACTTCTTTAAGACTCTGAACTCCTCAGTAAACCTTTAAAGATATTTAACATTACTTTAGAAAAAAACAGTTTCTAAAAAAATAAGATATTTACATTGAAAGCAAAGATTTTATTAGTGATACTTATTTCATTGCTTCTTTCTTCAGGATCAAATGGCTATCGCTTGTGGATCTCGAGCTCATTTGGAAAAAGAATCAATTGCCCAGGTGAGGCTTTCATCAGTCATGCATCTTTTTTTTTCTTTTTTACATATACATTAGCATGAAATAAGCTTAATCTCAAAGAAGTTCCTTTCAAAAGAAAGTATTAGCACATACAGGAATTGATTTTTTTTTTTTATTTTCTTTTTCACAAGTATAAAGGGAGAGTGTAGACTTCACTTTGATTTAGGATGCAAGCAGTTCTTTTCTGAAGACACAAAGAGCGTCCCCATTCAGTTATCGTATAAGGCAAATTTCCCCAAATGATATGTATTTGAACCAATCAACTTCCCTTTAGTTTTTCTCATGTCAGCACACTGAAATACTATATTTTAAATTTTATTCAGAGTTTAAATTTTTAAAAACTGTTTCCCTTAGAAAAGCAACATAACTTCACATGAGTAAAGTTGTGCTGCCCTTTTCAGAATATTAAAAAAATCAGTGAAGACATTTACTTCTTCAGGTGGTATTTTACAGATTAGGCTAAGAAGCTGGAGTGACTTCAAGGAAAAAATATAACGGAATCTTTCTATGCAGTGTTTTTTATTTTAATTCTTTTTCATGTAAAAATGTAGACCTAATGTATCAGACTCAGTAATTGTCCATTATATTCTTCTATGTTCATCTGCTAGAGTGGTCACGTAGAGTGAGCATAAAGCTATAGTTTTCAGAGGAAGGTCAAAATCATCTGGGGCTTTTTTTCTTTGTGTTTTTTTTAATGCACATTCCTAGGCCAGTCTCAGACACTAAATCAGATTCTAGCCATGGGACCAGGAGTCTGCACTTTTAAGTTTCCCAGGTCACCCTATGCAACCAGAGTTTGAGAACCAATGGAATATACGATTGACCCTTTCCCTCAGTGCTTCTGAAATAGGACATGAAAAAATTCTAATTTTTTCCAAAGATATACTGATAGCAGAACCATTAAATCCCTTAAGGATTTTGCTCAAATGTGAAAATTTGAACTCTCCTTTTTTTTTTTTTTAAGAATAAATTATTATATCATCTTCAGCATCTAGTCTAAATGTAACTCTGTAACCCTATGAACTCTTACCGGTATTTGGAAAAGGTTAATCTATTAACCATAGAGAATATCAAACTCCTAGAAGTTTAGTGCTGAAAGAGTTTAGAGGCTAGCTAGTCCAACTTCATCACTTCACTGATACACAAGAGATAAGGAAAGGAAAAGTGTATGTGCAAGGTGTTCAGAACATGATTTATAATTGTGAAATACTAGAAACTATAAGGTACTGTATCCCAACGCTAGAAAATGTACATATTTCCCCTGGATGAATGGCATACAGCAATAAAATACATGATAGTGGGCTTCCCTTGTGGCTCAGCTGGTAAAGAATTTGTCTGTAATGTGGGAGACCTGGGTCCAACCCCTGGGTTGGGAAGATCCCCTGGAGAAAGGAAAGGCTACCCCCTCCAGTATTCTGACCTGGAGAATTCCATGGACTGTGTAGTCCACAGGGTCACAAAGAGTCAGACATGACTAAGCGACTAACTTCACTTCACGGTGGAGACTGTATAATAATGTAGGGAAATACTAAAATGTTAGGTTGCATGGAAAACAGTATAATACTATAAATGCAGTATACTTGTGTTAAAAAATTTATTCAAACAAAAACACTTAATGAAAACAGACAATAATTTAAGGGTTTTGTGAGTAAATTTTTTCCCTTTTTAAAAAAATATATAAATGGGGAAAAAATTATAATAAACTTGGAAAGGAATAAGATTGGAGAAATAGGAAGCAGTTGAAGTAATCTAGAAAAGAAATGATTGGGACCTGTTATTGTTGTTGGCAATAGAAGGGAATTGTGGTTTTTGGTTTTGTTTTTAACGATGTAAATTCTTTTCACTTAGAACTTCCATTAGTTGAAAACTCTTTGAATTTTTTCAAAATAGTATTTAGAATGAGACTGTGCTATGGTCTGGACCTTCTTTTACTGAGTGCTGCTTTTAAGCAGTCATCAAGGGATCTCCCCCTAGGATCTCTTTTCTTTTGTCATCTGTCCATCCATTCCTCCATCTCTAAAACTTAGTGACTGACATAATGCTTTAGGGCTCTATAGAATTGGCAGCTGCTCCAGAAAGAAAGGGTAAACTGATCAGCAGTTGTTCACTGGAGCCGCTATGTATAACTCCTGCTGAGTAGGCTTGTTGTTCAAGTCTAGGTGATTCTCATAGAACTAGGTCTGTCTTAGAGAAGGTCGTCTCCAAGGGGCAACATGTCTATTTGGCCACGTGTCCAAGAAACTGCGGCATGGCCATCCACTTCTTGGCCACTGGGGTTCTTTTAACGTGCTACAGGCGATGCAGATCCTCCATGGTGATCGATCTGTGGACAGTGAGAAAATTACAGGAGTATTAATTAACACAGTAAACAGCAACTTTGGTAACTAAACTATGCAGTTTTCAGACTTACCTTACCTAAACATCCTTATACATATTCTCAGTTAATCCTACTATCTGTTCTGTTGCCCTCTTAGACATGCATGGTACAGCACCAGTGGGGTCATTAAAGCCTCCTTAAATGTGTTCATATGCCCATATGTTCTGTGTAACAGTTAAACAGTTGTGTTTATATTGTCTGGGTATTCTCAAATTTATCATTTTTAAAGGATTCAAAATAGAATCCATTACTGTTTGTTTGATCTCTTTAGATTATATTTTTGAAGAGTCTTTGCTTAAATCTTGAGACCTCTTTAACTTCTCTTTTTAAGATAATAAAATTACCAGTCAGCTTTAAATTTCACCTGAATTCCTTGTTTATATTTCATAAATATTAGAAATTATTGTTAATGTTAAAATAGTAAATATTTTAAAATATCTACTTCAGAAGTTCATATAATGCTGTCCTATGACTTTGTTACCTTCATTTAACTAAATAGGTCTGTGTTTTTAGATGTCTTCTAAACTTTAAGATACTTTTTAAAGTTTTAAAAATTAAAGATCCTGTTGTTTATATTGTTATGCTTTTCAATATGTTAGAAACCAAATAAGTTAAAGTCCTCATGTGAACTCCTCATGTTTGTGGTTTTTGTTTTGTTTTTTTTTAAGATAGCCATTATCGTAAAACAAACAAAAATCTTCTATTAACATCCAAGCAAAAAGCAGTCATGAACATTTTTATTTGGTTGCTAGTAAGCTCATCTCAATCACATTAAAAATCATTTGAGGACTAGTTTATAGGTATTGTTTTTCTACCTTTTAATTTTTATTTTTCTATCTTTCGATTTCTATTTGTTCCTTTCCTAAGCATAAATGGTCTTTTGGAGGTTTAATCAGTCAACCAGTATTTATTGGAAATATTTTAAATGGAAGGCACTGAGCAAGCTGTTGTGAGATTCCCAGAGTATTTTAAGATGAGGTTTCTGCCCTATCTGCTTAGCGAGGTAAGACATACTTACATCAAAACGTAACTAATGATTCTAGGTGATCAGTGAGAAGTGCTAGAGCTTTCCAAAGACTTTGTTTTAGTACCATCTAGATAAGTTTGATATTGTATCCTTCCTTCCCTTCTTGTCCTGTTTAATACACAAGTGAAATTCAGTCAGGAGGTTAAAGTGAGCTTTCAAACCTTCTTCCCTTACTAAAAGCATTTATTAAATGTCTGTTACTTCCTGCAGCAAACACCAGGCTAAAGACTTTAATATTGTACCATTTAATCTTTACCTTTGTGAGGCAGGCATTTCCATTCTAGATGAGGGAAGTGGGATTTAGAGAGTGGAAGTAACCTGCTCAAGGTCAGCCTAATTATTAATGGAGCCAGGATTCAAATACAGGCTGCTCAGTGCAGTGGCTTTTCTCTTATGTCATCTTATATGACTGTTGAGTCATGATTTTGTTCCTTGGTGATAGAAAAAGTCATGTGAATGAAGAATGATCCCAAAGATTACAGTAATGAAAAAGAAAAGCCAAAAGGAGGAAAGGACCTTGATTTACTAGGACGAGATATTGTTTTGCATAGACTTTTATGGGGTTTCTTACGTGCATATGTAATGTATCATTCCATGGGTCTATTACCATAATTATAGAAAATTTTAAGAAATATTATCTGTTTTTAATCCTAAATATGAAAGTCTTGACTGCCATGGTAATTACTGATCTGTTTTTCTTATGCTTTTAAGTTTTCATTGTTTTATGAATAAAATATGTGTTGTGTTATCTAATAATAAAATTAATGACTGCTAACAATAGGGAATACTTAGATAAAAGACTACTTAAATTTAATTTCCAAAATATTAAATAACTTAGCCTGCTAAAATATATTTTATCAGAAATATCTGTCATACTTAATTAGGGAGACTGGGTTTTTGTTTCAAACTCCTTGATGGTCTGTGGCTTCTTTGACACTCTAGCTGACCCCTGCTGTTGTATTCTCAATAGCCAGGTATCAAACTTCAGGTAGAAATCATGTTTCATTTTTCCAAGATATTCTGGTAACTCACCTTTTTTGAAACCAAAATATGTTTGGGGCACAGAGGCACAAAAGACGGGGTAGAGGAGATGTTCCTCTTGCTCATAGCAGCCCCCCAACTGCTATGCAGGTTTCTGGCAACTGAAGCCCCAGCTCTCACAGTCACTGTGATTCTTCTTGTCTGACTAAACCTCCAGGAAGGGAGTAACTACTTCTCTAGCTCCTGCCCAGCTCCAAGCAGTAGGCATCCACAGCGTCTAGAACGGAATTCACGAGGGCAGCTAGTGGGATGGTGGTGTTCACGTGTGAGATCTACCCAGTCAGTTAAATATTAAATTGTGGTTCTCTGCAGCCAGATTGTTTTCCATGTCTCCTTTATAGATAAATGGAAAAGTCATTTATATTTTGTCTTTGTTGCAGCGTTCTTACTTCCGTACTCTTCTCATGTATGGGTTCCACTTTCTGGTGTGGTTCCTTTGTGTCAAAGGAATCAGGGACACACAGTGTGGGTTCAAATTATTAACTCGAGAAGCAGCGTCACGGACGTTTTCATCTCTCCACATTGAACGATGGTAGGTTCCTAACCGGCGTGTGTCTGATATGTCTTCCTATGCAGCAGTTACTCCAGGTAATGGGAAGCAGCCCTGTATTCTCATAATGAACCTCCAGGTTTAAACAAAATTCATACTTATATCTGTAAACTTAATCTGTGCCTAGACTGGTTTGGTTCTTATTTTTAACATCTCAAACCAAATATAGGGTATGAAGTTATATATTCACCTTAATTATAGACAGTATCAATCAAGAGGCCTGAAAACATCCTGTTTCCTTAAGCTTCCTTTTTTCCTTTGAAGAAAAATTCAGAAATATCAAAGCAGAAAAGAGTATCCAGTTTCTCTTTTTTCTTTTACAGGAATGAGTTCCCTCTCCTGCCTAAGGCCAATTCTTGGATCTCTGCATCCCCTTCCACCTTCTAAGAACCCAATCCTGTTCACTTACTTTCTCTCTTGTGTATTTAGCCTTTTCTCACAACCGTGTTTTTCTCGTCAGTTTTTTCAAGTTTAAATTTCCCTCGCCATTAAAAAAACATGGTCTCCATTGACACCAGCCACCAGCACCCCTCCAGCCCTAGCCCTCTTTCCTTCCACAGCCAACTTCTTCCTGGAAAAATGGTCTGTATTCATTGTCTCCATCTTCCTACTTGCCACTCCTCACCCGTCCTCCCATCTAAACATCTCGTTACCCTCCTATTAAATCCAGTTGTCTTGTTTAATATGACTACTTACCATCTTGATGAATCCATCAGCAACATTTAATACTTCAGAGCACTCTATCTTAAAATATACTGTTATCTCAGCCTCTCTTCATTCCAGACCTCACTTTAGCTCTCAGTGTGTTTAGGGACTAACAGTGTGACACAGAAGCCTGAAACCTGGAGTCGTTCTTACTGTCCCTTCATTTCTCTTCATCTTCACCACCATCAGTTTGATCATTTTAATTCTGAAACTCCAGTTTCAGAATTAAAAACTCCACAGGACATCACTTCCTGTGCTGCAGCCAGGGGGATCTCTTCAAAAATTAGAAATGATCAGACACACCTCTTGCTGCCCATTGCCTTTGAGTGTCTTCCCTGGGCCTTGAGAGTGATAATGATACCAGCATCAATATTGGTTTTATGATTTTGCCCACCTGAGTCTCCACATGCAGTTTCTTCCCTTCTCATCACCCACTGCCTCTCCATCAGCATCCACTTATCCTTCAGATCTTCCTTAGGACAGCCTGCCCTCACTCTGTAGTAGACCAGATGCCCCTACTGTATGCTGTTGAAGCACCATAAACCTTTCTTGTGGCACCTGTCACATCTGTAGTGTTTTATTTGTGTAATGTTTCTTTTTCTCTATTAAACTCCACAAGAGCAGAAAATCCTAATCAGTTGCACACTTTAAAAACAAAAGTAAATGGATTTGCGATGATTAAATGTCATAACATTTATGACAATATAAAATATTAACATATGGTATAGTTCACTGTCTAAGAGAGTACCTGACCCATCATATCTACTCAGTAAATACTGTTGAAAGAATCAATACTCAGTGCTAGTTCTGGATTCTGTGTGAATTCTGTTTGTGGCAGGAGTCTGCATAATTATTCTGGTAGATATTCATTCATGTAGTCTGTGTAACTTTCATGCATGTATTTGCAAATATTTGTTAACCCCTAGAAATAGATGTCATCTAATCTTCCCAAATAACTTTATAAAGAAACCAGAGTTTCAGAATTAAAATGATCATCATGTTTTTAAATCCTTTTCCCCTAGGTTAAAATTTTTTTAAGTACTTATATTTGGTCTTTAAATTTAAATGCATGTTTCTGTTATGTTGTTGGAGAAGAAAATATACTGATAGTTAATGGACTCCAAAATCAGAGACTCTAAGAAGCCACTCCAGAAATACACCTCTGCAGTAGGTATTTTTCATTTGGTGGTTGTGTCCAAATCTAAGGTCAAAGAGCTAGGTTCTTTGTAGTTTGAAAGGAAGGATTTAAAAATGGAGAACAGTAGGGTTTTAGGCTTGACTTTAAAATCATGAAACTTCCTCGTCAGGATTGTTCTAAGGCAGCACTGTCCAACAGAAATAGAATAGGAGACACGAATGCAAGCCATTTGTGTGATTTTAAACTTTCTAGTAGCCACATTAAAAAGTAGAAAGATGAAATTTAATACTATCTTTAACACAGTATTAAGCATAGTCATTTTGGCATGCATTCAGTATGAAAAAGATATGAACTATTTTACATTCTTTTTTTTGTACTATGTCTTGAGAGTATAGTACCTATCGGTTCAGACCAGCCACATGTCAGTGCCCAGTAACCAGCCACATGTGGGTCGTGGCTGCCCTATTGGCCAGCACCATTCCCAGGTTTTGTGTGTTTTTTTAAGTTAAAGAATGTGTTTTGGCTTTTTTTCTTCCGTAAATCTTAAGTTCATATGCACGCCTTTCTAATTACTTATTTGAGATTTGATTGACTTAAAATTTTAACCTCTGACATCTCTCTTTAGGATCCAATAATGTTTCTTTGGTGCCCATAAAGGAGAACCATCAAATAGGCATGTATCAGCCTGATAAGCAGTAAAATCTCACTGTTTTTATTTAAACATCTCTGTTCCTACACTTCAGTCAAGAAACACTATAGAGCTGATGTGGGTTTTCTCTTGTGCAGTGTAAGTTTTAGAAATCAAATTGTGCATCTACTCATTTCCATGTAGGTGTCACCTTAGACAGTTTTCTTAAGAGGACTTATTCTAAAGATTCACTGAAATTTTTCTCGTCACTTTCAGGAAATCCAAGTCAAGTAGAGTTTCTAGGTGTTATAAAACATTATGGTATAATACACACTGTATTGCCCAAGTTGAAAAACTACAGCCATCTCTTTGATTTAGAATTGCTTGATATGAGTAACGTTAAATATAAATATATATAGTCTCCATCCTGTGAACTCTACCTCACCTAAAGTCTTCCCATTTAATGTTAAGGTATAATTTGACCCTGTTTGTGAGTACTCTTTAAAATGGGTTCTTTGAAAGATACCTTCTTCTAGTAAATAATATATTTTTATTTTTAATCGATGTTATTCATGTTTATAATTTAAAATCATTCCATCGGGTTTATAAGAAGAAGACCGTTGTCTTTCACCCCATCTCCTTTTACTCCCCCACCCCCCGACGTGGCGCGCCCTGCCCGCCCCCCGATTTCTGCTCCCTTACTGTAGGCACCGTCATTTCTTTACTGCTTGCTTGTGGCATTTGCTCCATACTCAGAACAAGTGTCTGTATAGCTGTGTCTGTTTTTCAGTTTTAGATATTACTTTCCAAAGTAGGAAATGAATGTTTAAGTATTCTCTTAAACTCCTGTTTATCCTCCACACTCACGTGCCTACTGCAGTTTTAAAATAATTTTGCTCAGCTCAGCGTTGATCATTCTAGCTGGGTAAGGAGATTTGATCTGTAGCATGCAATGAGATTATAGACCCATATAATTGTAGTACTTTTTGTTTTTCCTAAAGGTAATAACTGCCTGGAGCTTTTTGTTGGCATTTCTTGCCTGTGGATTTCACACTTCCTCATGCTCACTCTGACAGGAGCGTGAATCCCAGAGGCATCAGATTATGCCTCAGTTCCATCTTTTTCTTAAGAGACATCTCGTCGGCTCTTCCTTTCAAGTTGTTTCCTGGTCTGCTGCAGCTCCTATCCTCCATCTAGTTCTCCTTGGTTTTCATCCTATTTTAGTAGAGCACATCCTCTATGAAACTTCCTGAAAATGTGAAACAGGCACTGTAAGACCCTCATGCTCTTTTACCATTTAGCTGGAGAAAAGAGTTACAGGTTGGAAATCATTTTTCCTCAGGATTTGGAAAGCGTTGCTCTGTATTCTTTGGCACTCAGTGTTTCTGTGGAAAAGTCCAGTTCTGTCGATAATCTAATCTTGATTCTTTTCTGTGGCATATTGTTTCCACAATTTGGAAGCCTTTTTTTCCTCCAGAGTGTTTTGAAATGTCATGATTCAGCAACTTAATATGGCTCTCTTCCATGCATTTTGTTGAGAACTCAGTAGGCCTCTAACTCTGGAAACCCATGTCCTTTGTTTCTCAGAAATGCCCTTTAATCCTTTCTTCAACAGTTTCCTCTCTCTTCTCATTTGTGAAACACATGTAGAACTTCCCTATTGGTCCTCTTATTTTCTCTTCCTATTTTTCTATTGTGGTTTCCTCGATTTTACCATCTAACCTTCTTGTTGAATTTTTCTCTCTGCTATCAAAACTGCAATTTCCTACAACTCTTGTATTCCAGTATTCATTTTTCTGTTTTACGTACGACTATAGTGTCTTCCACTGCGTCTCTTAATGTCTCATTTAACACTTGGAGATTTTCTTCTTTCCTTGCCTGTTGTTTTGCTGCAGTTTTTTTATGTTTATTTCTATCATTAAAGTTTACCTTCAGGTATCTTTAGTATGACCCTATAAAGCTCATCAGCAGCTGTGTGCATGGTCAAAGAACTCTGACCGACTGGTAAAGGTCACTGCAGACTAAATGAGCGGGGCCACTTTGTATGGGTAACTCCCAGCTGTCACTATGTTGGGGGCTGGTCATTTTCACTAAAGTGAGATCCTTCAATCTCCTGCCTAGGACACATGAGCCTGGCTGCCAGCATTTACAGAACCAACTGGAAGAAAGGAGAATCTTACACAGATTTTCAGTGAGTCCTCCAGTTTGCAGCCCACTGCACCTCCTACAGGTCCGTCGAGGCCCCTGATGCCTGAACCTCACGGGCCTCTGTGACCATTAGCTGCTCTGGGCTTCTCCCTCTGCCACTGTCCACTCTGCCTGGTTACCACTTGTCCAGCTACTTTCCAACATTCAGATTTTTTTTTTTGCTACTCTCGTCAGGTTTTGTTCTTGTCTTACTATCCTTTCATTGTTGTTTTAATTTTAGTGGTCTTTCAGGAGGGAGCAGGAGGATATGTGTGTATCTGCCGTTTACAGAGTCCGCACACTCTTCATTCTCCAGAAATAGATCTGTTCATGAGGAAACAGATACACCAGGAACTAAGTCACAAAAGAAAACGTGGCGGCTTTGCCCTCTCCACTGTTAAAAAGCTCGAGAAGTCACTTAGCTGGAGAATGACCCTTCTCTTCATTATCCAGCTAGGAGGACTTGGTACTTTAATTATAATGTTTGCTTTGGTACCAGATTGGTCTTTTATTTATAATATAGTAATGTGTTTTAATAAACATCTCACATCTAAATTGTTTAAGGGGTGAAGGCTATAATAAAAATAATAGTTTAGAAGATGAATAACCCTTTCAGTTTTTTTTAATATAAATTCAGTTATTCAGCTGCATTTTCACCCCTTTCCTTTTCATTCATCATTCTTGTGTTGTGCCTTTGATGAGTCAGTGATTCTATACTAATATCCTTGGAGAAATATTTAATAATCTTGATCAGATTATTGAATATCATTAGAACTAACTCAGAAGCCCATTAGGTAATTTTGGGGTTTTGTGTTGAGAGAGTGAAGGATTAAGCACAAGGCTTAATATTCAAATTGTTTCCTACTTTCATGAATATCACAATTCTATTTAACGGAAGTTTTACATAGTCCTTTTAGAAACACAAAGAACCCTTTTGTAGATGGTTTTATCATCTTAAGTAAATATTTCATTAGGATAAGAAAAGGCATTACATGTTTAAAAAAAAAAGTTTTCATACTGAATTATCCAAACACTTGGGATTTAAACTAGTTGCATAATGGACATTGGTAGTATTGTAGCCAAGAAAACAAAACTCCAAATTCAGATTGCTTGGGATCAGAGAAATCAAATGGAAGTGGATTTGAGGCGTTTTGCTATCTGTGCTAATATTTTAAAACCAAGCTTGGGACGTTTGAAGTATGTTCTGTGCAGTCAAGAAAGTGGAGTGAGAAGAGGGTGTTAATGTCTCAAGAATGAAAGTGAAACACTAAAAGACTTCAGGGCCTTTAGAGACAGGCAGAAGTACCACAGGGAGTGGTACTAATGCCAGTGAAGAAGCAACTGGGGGAGAATGCTCTAAGAATCCAGCATATCAGGATTCAATGTTCAGGGAAGCAGATTTGACCTAAACCAAAGGACTGACTGAAGAGGATCTTTAAGAAAGATCCTTCCACAGGCAGAAGGAAGGCTGAGCTGGGAACTGAAACTAGAGATGATCTCTGTATGTCTGTAGTTATACATACCCCCCAGGCCTTTCACACCAGCCAAAACTGGCTTTTCACTTTCGCCAGCTGCCACTACTGTGCGGTCCGGGACAGCATTGGGGAGGGGAAGGCGGAAGGTAGGCCACAGGGACCCTGTACTTAGAAACGAAACCTTGGTTCTTTGATGGTAGAAGAACATAACCAAGCAGCTCTAAAGCGATTGAGAACATTCTCTCCTAGTGCTTCTCAATGGTTGTTCTATCAGCTCTCTTAATCAGTTTAAAATGCTATCAGTTCTGTATCTTGAGCTAGCTAAAGCTGGGATGTGAAAACCATCCATCTTAAAAATTTCTCTTGGATTAAATTTTCTCTTGGACACCAAGAGAACATTTTTACCTCTGCGCGTTCTGCATTGTGAGAGAGATGCCATATTTCTCATTTAAATGTTACACAGTGACACTCAACATTTTTATTTGCCTTGAAACTCCTCCACTCCTTGACTTTTATGTGACCTTACGTTTATCTGACCTTCACTTTTACAACATAAGCTTTTATAATCTGCTGTGTAAGCTTCTTTAAAACATGCCAAGGTAGATAGAGATTTAGTTACACTCTATTTGTCTTTTTATAATAAATAGCCATATATTTTCTATTTCAGGGCGTTTGATGTAGAACTGCTTTACATAGCACAGTTCTTTAAAATCCCAATAGCAGAAATTGCTGTCAACTGGACTGAAATTGAAGGTGAGCATATTATGTTACAGCTGATCTTAAGTAGGGGAAAGACCTCAGACCATACAGTACTTGCCCAGTGACATCAGCTGGCTTTCCTGTCATCCCTCGCCCCCTTCAGGGCCCACTCAGGTCTCCTGACTCAGAGAGGCAGTTTCATAAGACAGTATTGCCTACTGACACCGCCCCCCGCCACCACCTGCCTCCAGCTGGCTTACTGCCTTCTGGATTTTTTTATTCTCTTCTTAGGGTCTTTATTAGGCCTACTGGCTTGCCTAAGAAATTCAGTAAAAACTTGTACAGTAGACAGAATCGTGATGACTTCGGGCTACAAGCAAGGTAGATAGTCTTGGAGTAAACTTTACTTTTTATAATACCTTTTTTTTTTAGTATTCTATTATGTCATTGCTCAGTGAGTGTAGAATACCTACAAACCACTTTGCAAAGCTAAATGAAGAATTATAGCTGCTTTTACTCCAAATATCCATAATCCATTCACAGCTGGTTTTTAGCTAGTGTCTGTACATACATCCAAAAATGTAAAGATCTCTAAGGTTTATAATGATGTGAAATCTATCATAATTCCTGATTTCTATTCAGAAGTGCTTAAACAGCTCTCACTGTTTAGAATTCAAAATATATTCTAGTGTTCTCCTTTGCTTAGCTTAGAATGACCCCAAATTAATTCACCGTGTGGGAGGAGCATTGCTGGAGGCTTGCAGTTACTTCTCCTCCAGGTGAGCATGGCGTCCTCTTGAAAAGTCAGTGTGGTGTTAAGCAACCTGGGCTGTTTAGGGCCAGAAAAAGCTTAAGAGCCAGTCGAGAAACCATACAGACTATGCACACGTCTGCGAGTCTTGCTGAGTCATACTGAGCTTACAGAGGTTTGACTCATCTCCATGGTAGCAGCACAGACTGCCGGGGAGGGGAAGCAGGTAAGAGGATGCTCAGACCCGTTGTGATCGGCTCCATCGAAGTGTCTCTGTTGCTCTGCGCCCAGCATGGACTCTGTGGGAAGCTGAAGTGGGGGAAAGTAAAAGTACGTTTCAGTTTAGATCACTTGCTCACTTTGCATTTCTCAGGTAGCTGAGTATTAAATCTCATTAACCGTTTCACTCAGTGAGTAGGTTTTGTGTTCATCATCCCCAGACCCTCTGCTCGAGACTCCCTGCTCGAGCAGGAGCCATCTGAAATTCTGAGTTTAGATCCTCCCAAGTTTTATTTCACATCAAGGTGTTTTGTTTTTATTGTTTTTAGAGAAACCATTCACTTTGATTTTAAAGATGTTTAACTGTCTTGTCCACGATTTAAATAAAATTACGGTGGATGTGTTAACTTGATTGTGGTAATCATTTCACAGTGTATCCAGGTATCAGATCATCGCACTGTGCACCTTAAATACATTTGTTTTGTCAATGGGGGAGAAAAAGAGAAAGCCAGAGCATTTGGCCTTAAATCTGGGAACTGTCAGTGACTGTCCTGTGGTCCTGACCAGGTCACTTTACCACCCAGCACCCTAGTTAACTGAAACTGGAGGGGACTGCTGAGTTAAAAACAATTCCAAAGGGTAAAATAAAGGAATCTGAACTTTAAAACACGCTCATGGAGTCAGCTGGGCTTGATATATTACCATTTGACAACCACTGGACAAGAAGGCGGCCTAGCTAAGACATATTTCTTTGATCTGATTTAGAATCTTTAGTAGAAATAGAGTAAAATTTGGATTTCTGTCTTGGCTTTCTTATCTCAGATTATTAATCTGTACTTGTATTATATACAGAGGTTTGCCCAATTCTCTGTAGTACATGAAACTGAAAAGCAGTGTGTACAACATGAAGACTTACCCCCAAAAATCATTTTTACCTGTACAAATGGAATTAAGTTTTACATACAGATAATACACATTATGGTGACTAGAAGCTCACAAAGATGGTGTAGACTGACTTCTAAAATACAGTTCTAACTATTACATTTTCCTCTGAAAATATTTTTAATTATTTTCAAATTACAGGTTCTAAACTAGTTCCCTTTTGGAGCTGGCTACAGATGGGAAAGGATCTACTTTTTATACGACTTCGATACTTGACTGGTGCATGGAGGCTGGAACAAACCAGAAAAATGAATTAGGTTATCTGTCACCTTTGATTGTATTCTTACGTATCAGTGTCACATTGTTTCATTTGAAATTAAAATTTTACAGCTGGAATAAACCTGTGCCATTGTCTGCCTTCTAATAATTTTGAAGAATTTACTGTCAGAAGTAAAAATCTTTATACCTCTTGTGGACAAAAATTTTTAAGGTATTTATAGCAAAAGTCAGATTTCCTTTTGCTTTAGCAATTTTGTTTATTAATAGGCCAATTATCATTATGATTCTGAGAAGTATAACTTTTAAACAGAAGACATAAGCATTCTTATTTTAAAATGCCTATATAATTCTCATGAATTTAAATATAAACAGTAATCATATAACAGTGTTCAGGGATATTTAATGTATATAAATTTATATTAAACTCATATTTCACCCTATTAAAAAGTATAGGAAATTGTATGTTAAAGAAAGGATATCTGCTTGTTCACAAAGGTATCCACTTTCTTATACATTAGTCATATTTATCTCCTTCCTAATTTTTCTTATATATACCATACTTTCTTACCTCCCGGCAGCCTTTCCCTCTTGAGTTCATGTTAATAAAAATTAGAAATTCTCTATTAAAAAGAAGGTTTTATGGTATTAGTAAATATTTACTTAACATCAGAAGCCTAATATGTTTTTGAGAAGCTAAAGACAAAAAAACAGCCATTATAATGATCCCCTGAAACTCAGAATTTGATTGTTTCTGATGTTTTAGAGACAGTAATGATAATACCTACCATTTATTGAGTGCTGTCTATGTGCCAACCACTGTTGTAAGCACTTAGTACACAGTCACTCACCTAACTTTTACAACAGGAGACGAAACTGAGGCACAAGCAGTCACCTGCCCAGCTCACATGGCTAGGAGATGGAGGCGTCATGATTCTAGCCCGCAAAGCCTGCATCCGGGGCCTATGCTCTTTCATGACCATGCTACTGCAGTTTCTGAAGGTATGATAACTAGGGACATGTAAATAGAAAGCTTCAGAAGCACATAAATACAACATTGTAAGTTATGTGGAAAAGTAATAAGCTAAAAATGACTCCAGTAGTTTCAACAACAGTGATACTGTCACATCTGCATTAGACTATAAGCTCTCTTAAAACAGAAACCATTTCTTATTCAAATTAGTATTCTCAGGGACTTCCCGGGCGGTCCAGGGGTTAAGAATCCATACTTCCATTGCAAGGGCCTCGTCGAGGAACTTAGATCCCGCGTGTCACTCAGCATAGCCAAAAAATAGATAAATAAAAATAAATTTTTTAAAAAACTAGTATTCCCAGTACAGTGTTTAGCATAAACACTTAATTATTGATCAAGTGAATAAACAAATTATTCACTACCAGGTTTCGAGAACCTTTAAGTCACTTAAACAGAACAAGAACAGAAAAAGTCACTTGAACAAGAACAGAACAAGTCACTTGAACAGAACAAGGCTTATGCAAGTAGAAATGAGAGAAAACAAACAATGACCTTGAGCATTTACAAGAATTTAAAGTTACAAGCCTTGAGCCAAGAATAAGATCCTTAATGAAACTATTATAAGACAATAAAATAATTTATTCCTGTTTGCAAACTAGTGATAAAAATGTGTTTGAAGCATAGGGGAAATTTCAGGAAAAGTGTCAGTATTTTTTTATGCAACTCACCCTTGAGCACTGTTACAGGTTTCTGGCACGCTTGATATGAAGCACAGGTTCACCTAAGCTAACTGTGGCACAGACTCGGAGGCACTCTAAGGGAAAACATGTATCATATATAGGTATGGTTACCCACATTTCAGAAATGAAACAGGCTTAGACCAGTGATTGGCCCATGATCACACAAGTAGCCAGTGCCTGCTTCTACTAAAATAAAAAAATAGGAAACATACATGGGTGTGATTACAACTGAAGGTACAGTCTCATTATAATCAGACAACATTATCATTTACTTTCAACCTTCTGACTTGTTCTTACAGAATATGTATGTATACATGGAGTTTATTTGACTCAAGATTATGTCTGAATGATAACATCTTTATTGCCATCTATAATGCTGTATCTCTGTGTCACTGTGTAGTTCCACTATTCATAGCTGATTCCCCAGTTCTGTTTTCCTTTTTTTTTCATTCAGTTACAATAGCCTTGCCTTTTATTTTATTTGTGTGTCTCCACAGCATCCTAAATTGTGATAGTTCAGTAAAGGTTTCCCAAATGGTTAGATAATGCCACCATTACAGTTCATTTGCTGAAGCAAAGAATTACATGAATGAAGTTATCCATTTTATCAACAGCTAAATCCCCTGAAGTAGTCTAATGGGTTGCTTTGTTTTTGTGCAAACTCAAAAGCACCAAATCTACAAACTAATGATTTTAACATGTCCATCCTATATAGGACTCATTTAGAATTCTCTGATTTTGAATTAAAACTCATTAGTATTTTGATGATCTCCAAAAGCAATACCTTACAGATTTGATCCTTTAGACAATAACTGCTGTTCTACAACCGAACACTACAGAAAAGAATGGTGCCCTCACACCTGCTGACGACAGCAAAGGCTGAGTGAGGACCTAGATGCACACCCTCATGAGGCTAGAATCAGACACCTGGACACCCTGACCTGGGCGATGTCACAGAAGGTCCAGCGGCGAGCAGGACTTTCACCCCCAACAGCCAACCCTGACTCTTCGCCGGGGGTGCTGAGCAGCAGCGAAGCCACCCCACCGCGGTGACAGTGAAGGCCATGTAGTGAGCCAGAGCTCCGACGCCTACCCAGATGTAGTAAGCAGTCCTCCTTCCTTTGGGTGTCAGTGGGGGCCAAGGGGGGAGCCTATACGTACACCCCCCCCAGCAGTATAACAAGATGGTGCTGCTTCTTCTCAACCAGAGTAGTGTCATTTAAAACAAAAAGTCTGAATAAGATCCAGAGTCTCACAACATAATAAAAAATGTCCGTACTTCAAAAGAAAATCATTTGTCAAAACAGGAACCAGAAAAACCTCAACTTGAATGAAAAAAGACAAGAGATGCTGACACAAATCACAGAGATGTTAGGATTCTCTGAGAAAGATTCTACAGCAGCCATGATAAAAATGTTTACACATAATTATAAACGTGCTTGAAATTAATGAAAAAATTAGAAAGCTTCAGCAGAGAAACAAACTCAGCAAAGAAAGCGAAGAGATTGAGGAGAACCAAACGGAAATTTTAGAACTGAATAAAAAGCTTGGTGGATAAGCTCAACAGTAGAATGGGAGTGGCAAAGAAAGGAATCAGTAAACTCAAGATAGCACAATAGAAATTATTCAATGTGATCAAGAGAGAGAAAATAGAATAATAATAAAAAATGGCTCAGTGAAACTCAGATCTAACATTAGTATTATCAAAAAAAAATACTAACTGAAAACTCCTCAAACTTGGCAAAAGGCATAGAATCACAGAATCAGATTCCTTATAGGATAAACCCAAAGAAATCTATACCAAGACACATCATAATTAAACTTTGGACAACTAAAGACAGAACAAATCTTGAAAGCCACCAAAAAAAAAAAAGAAGAAGAAGAAGACAGCGTCCCTGTGATAGGGAAACAATCAGAATGACTGAATTTACCATCGGAGGCTATGCTGGTGAGAAGGATGTGGCTCACTATTTTTAAAGTACTAAAAATAATAAACTGTCCATGCAGAATCTCATACTCAGGGGAAAAAAAAAAACAACCTTCAAGTATAAAGTGGAAATAAAAACAATTTCAGATGCTTAAGAGAATTGGACACCCACAGACCTATCCTAAAACAATGGCTAAACAGAAAACATCAAAGGATGGAAACTTGGAACCCTAGGAAGGAAGAAAATCCATGGTAAGAAGAATACAGATGAATACAAAAGACTTTCCTTCTCTTCAAGAGTTTTATATTATGTTGGAAGCAAACACTATAAAAATCTGATGTGGTTCTAAATGTGTATAGCAAAATTTATAAGACAGTTTATTAGAGATGAGGGAGGGTAAATGGGCAGGAAACAGAGGTTACAGTCGTTGCAATCCCCTAGGCAATCTTCTGACATCACGGCTGGGGAGCTGTGACCCACTGCTGGAGAATCAGTAAGTTAAGTGTGCAATTACAGCCCAATCTGTCTTTTTTTAAGATAAAAAGTATTAGCAGAAGGTGACAGGTTCTCATACTGAAGAAGGTAGGGTAAGCGTTTAACCCATTAATATTTTCCACTATGATTACTGTTCTCTTTCCATTAAAGATAGAATCAAGATTATATAAAGAAAGAAATGAATCGAGATTGTAAAATTTAAAATTTTGTTTAGTCAAGTCCCATACAGTTTTTTTAATTTCTCAAATACCTGTCCGTTCACCACTGTTGATGATTAAATCCGTGCACAACAGCTGGGTTTTAGCTGCAATTACATCACATTCACTTTTTAAAAATGATCATTTCAAAAAAAAATAAAAATGACCATTTCAGAAAACATACTTCCAATAAAAACTGAACCTTATTTACATTTCTTATAGGAAATATATGTCAGAAATTGAAATTTCATTAAAAATGTGCTTTCTTGCACATCATTCTTCCCACATATACAACAGATGTGGATGGATACTGTTTCAGTGAATCAAAAGACATTTTTCCAGTGATGAAAGCTATGTGCATCACAGTTTTCTTATCTATGAAGTGATAAGATAGACAGAACATGAGCTGCCTCCCTATAGGGTTACTATCAGAATTAAATGAACTAATGCAAGCCTAAGCTTTAAAAAGAAAAGTTTTATGGAAATGTAAGATAATACAAAAGCACACATCAGAAAGAATATTTTTGTACCTGGCAAATGCAGAATGGCTCAGCAGTGAAGAATCTGCCTACCAATGCAGGAGATGCAGGTTCTATCCCTGGGTCAAGAAGATCCCCTAAAAGGAAATGGCAACCCACTCCAGTATTCTTGTCTGGGAAAACCTATGGACATAGGAGCCTGGTGTGCTACAGTCCATGGGGTCACAAA